AAATCAATAGTGTAAGCCTTAATTAAAAAATAACACGCCCGTAACGTAACCGTTTTAGGGTTAAATCGGTGTACCTAGTACCTATGCAAGAAAGCGGCACGTGTAACGCACACACACGCACCTTGTAGTACTCGCGGCATTAAAGAAAGGAATCGCAAATGACGACGTAACACATTCTGTCCCTCTCGCGCATCCAATCCTAAGTAACGTGCGAGAGAGACAGAGTGACTCGCGTTGCATTTTCGGTTCCTTTAATGACACGAGTATACCTATATTCTTTTTTCCTGTGCCGATGGTGTCCTAGTACTGGAATTGTCAACCTTTGACTAAGTGGTTAAAATAATAATTGTCGTATTATTTCTAGACACTACAAAAGGAATAATAAAATGGTATGAATTGTGTAGGTAATTATGATCACTATTTATTTGTAGAGATAAATAAATAGTTTGTTTAATTTCGGCATTTTCTTTTTGTTATACAATTAAGATTTAGATAAGTATTACTCAGTGTGACTTTTTGGGTTGATTTGTCTGTCAAAAATAACTTACTAGATAAACCATCACGAACTAAAACATAACTCTAATATGTCTATTTTACTTTTGCCAGTAATGATAAAAAACTGAAGCGGACCACGTGTGTTTCGCAATTAAAGGGGAATGTGAACAAAATGTACGTGACTTTTTTTAGCTTCTGAAAAAAAATGGAGATGTAAGCGATATTTGTAGCTATTTCGGTGGTTTAATTTATCGAAATAATTAATAAAATAACTAAAATTTCAATAACTTTCAGGAGCAAAATTCAACAAAAATATAACATTTTCTCAGAATACCCTTTATGTTATTTTTGTAATGGAGGTACGGACATTCAAACTTAGCACTTTAAAATTAGACATACATTGAACATTAATAATTGAAAAAAATATAATTCATTATTGTACATTGAGGTACTTACTTACGAGGAGCTCGGTTGCGCAGAAGGTTAGCGCGTTGAAGTTAAGCAATTTTCGCAATGGTCGGTCATTGGATGGGTGACCATAAATCTTCTATGTCGAGATCCTCCGTGCTTCGGAAGGCACGTTAAGCCGTTGGTCCCGGCTGCATCTGCAGTGGTTAGTACCCGCCAATCCGCACTGGGCTCGCGTGGTGGGTCATGGCCCAATCTACCTATTCCATTCATAGGGAAGGCCTGTGCCCCAGTAGTGGGGACATTAATAGGCTGATGATGATGCACTTACCTAATCATAAAAATAACACCGTCCGTGGTTAAAAGCGCAGAAATTGCGCACGGATAAAACAGTTCTGATACCTACCTACCTACCTACATACATATCAAACATCAATCAAAGCTAAATTTTGTTGTTTAATTTTGATTTATGAAACTAAGCCACGCTAAATAATAATCTTTGATATTTTTTTAGTAAGTTTTGTGAATTTGACAAAAAAAAAAGGTTGCAAAATTAGCACCTAAAACTTAACCAAGTATTGGTTGTAAACAAAACAACCTAATCAACAGTTAGGCGGATAGGTAGTCGTAGTACTCCGCGTTTTTTTAAATAGGCCAATAAAAAAATAAAATGTTGTTGACCAATGCCACGTAACTTTAAATTTTTACGTTTTAGGGTTTCGTCGGAAGAATTAAAGATCGAAATTTACTGAATCTCCTTAGAGCTCCTAGTACTTACATAAACTTTCACATTTATTTTTTACTAACAAATAATCAAAGCAGACTTTATAACTAGGTTCATGTGTAAGAAAATCCAAATGCGAAGACTTTCACCTGCTTTTCTTGGTAGGTGGACCCGTCGACCGCACGTTGAGAGTACGTGCGTCAACACTATCTTTGTAGTAAGGACAATTTAAGATCATTATTTTACGCTTTACATTATGCTAAAAATTACGCTTATTCAACTTGAATGAATTCGGTACGGCGCCTAAGGATTTTTCCTCGACAAAAATGGTTTATCTGCACATCATCATTATCATCACCAGCCTATTAATGTCCCCACTACTGGGATACAGGCCTTCCCTATGGACGGAGGAACTCGAGATAGAAGATTTTTGGTCACCCATCGAATGACCGACCACTGTGAAAGTTGCTTAACTTCAACGTTCGCAGCCGAACGTAATAACCACTTGCGCCATCGAGCTCCTCATCATTTATTTGCACTCCTTAAAAGAAATCGGTTACGCACTGCGTGATTTAAAACGAATTTCCTTTTGCGAATACTCAGGTTATGGTTTTAACTCCCTACTGTGAATTTCCTAAAAGACTACAAAGAAGGCCCCTGCACGAATTTTGACAGTTCCGTAATCGTATTGTATCGTCGAAGTTTCCATGAAAACTAAGTAGCGCCCCTGCCGGACGTAAGAACCAACTGGCTTTTTCCATTCAAAATTTAACCATGAAGATACGATTACGGAGCTGTCAAACTTCGCTCTTGGGCTTCGGTACTAAAACAATGAGTTCTTAGAGAAAGCTGTTATTTCTTTTCAATACATTTGCTCAAAAAATGCATTTACGGTTGTATACATTGGTCGAAAGTTCAAAATTAAGGGCCATACAACGAAGCGTACGGTAAAACATTTTACCGCACGTTACGTTTAATTTCGTCGAACCTCCTTGAAAGCGCTTTCATCATACCTTTGTCTCACTTAAACCCCAAAAAAGAAAAAGAGTGTCTACTCGTTTGTAATAACCAATTTACCGCACTAATATTATAAATAACTATTACAGAGTTAGCAACGACCTTATGCTTCATGTTATCCCAAGTATTACAAGTAAGGAAAATGATATTAAAACATTACATTAAATGTCAAGTAGGTACACGGTTAGTGAATAAAAATTAAGTACTAGGTTATGTACATTTCAAGATTGTGTACAAAACCACCTAAACAATTTACTTCATCACGGCGCCTTGTCATTAAATTATGTACCGGCCCCCGCCACTGTATTTGAAGACTCTATTTAGAAAAACAAAAAATATGCATGCGGAACCCAAAGTGTATTTTTTCAAAAAGTGCTAAATTCGGCTGTTTGCCTGGTGTTTTCAAAGACTAAATGGTAGCAGATGTGTCTAATTAGACATAATCATGCAATTCGACGTTGAATACGATTAGTATGCCATTGATTTAAAGGTAGTTATCTAAGCTAACTTAATATTACTAACAATTAATTGGAATAAAATAAAAAAATACATTATCAACAAGCAAAAAAAGTTTTAAATCTGTAACCCGACTACGGAAAAAAAGTAGAGAGAGGAATGAAATCGATTAAAATTGTGACTAACGACGACGAAGCCAAAAGGAAGGGATATCATTTTACCATTCTATGTACATACATACAGGCGAAGGATCATACACACATAAATACATACATAACTGTATGTGTAAATTTACGTATTAAAACGTAGCGCTTAACGATTTCATCTTATTTTAATTAACAAGGTGTCTATTAATTCTTTACAGTGACTTGGACAACACAAGCTTTAACAGACTTTAATAAATAGGAGGAGTCTTGTAATTGATCATTCCTTTCTTTTTTGATTTTTTTCCGTGGTGGGGTTCACTTTTATAAACTTTTTTTACTTGTTACACCTGATAAGGAAGCGAAGGTATAAATGTTTAGCAAATTCAACAAGTCTGAAAATTGATAATCTATGATTTAAATGACAATTTTGGGTTGAATGACATTAGCGGCAGATTACTAGAGATGGGACATTTTAAATATGATTTTTCGATAAAATTTATTTTTTTTGGGTTATTTTGAAACACCGTGTATAAAGATATTTCAAGATAAGGATCACTCAGTCGGGACGATCGCGAAAAACCAAGATTTTAAATTTTCTCTTAAACCAGTAAGATTTCAATCCCGATCTTTGTTTCACAAATTTTCGCAAAAGCATAATTTATAATAAACATGATAATGTTTCATACTTTTTCAGTATAAGGTAGTGTTTTAAAAGATCACTCAAATGAACATAGTTCATCCTGAGTGATCCATATAAACCGTTCTAAATCTTAAACGTAGCTTTGAAATGAATCGAAAATTTGTTTAGCAGCTTTCACAAATTCTTCACAAATATTTCAAATACAAATTATAAACACACAGGTAATATTTTCTTGGATACGCGTTATGGCTTATTCTTCAGGTGTCCAGATTGAGTGATCCAGTTATTTAGTTCTAACTTTCTTTGTTTAGGTTTCACAAATTTTATACCGTACCATTAAGTTGTCACAATTATTTCCTAAATCCTCTTATAATTTGGTTGTGATTGGATGAGTTTTTTGAAAAGATCACTCAGTCCACACGCACATCCATTTTATTATATGTCTAGATTCAAAAAAATAGTTTAAACTTATAAATCGAGCAAATAAATGCTTAAAATTCAATTTATAACAAACTTCTAGATTTAGCAACAAGTAAATATTGTAAAAATTATCAATAAAATATCTGTCCAAAGAGGAATTTTTCATCATAATAAACCAGCCTATAATTTATTCTGACGTAATGGGAATCTGACGAATGTGTCCTAAATCAATTTATCGGTATAGAGCCAAAAACAGTGCCTTTGCTATTAACCTATCTAAAGACAAGCTTATCATGCCGAGGCCTTCCCTATGGTTGGAATAAGGAAAACGAGCCAAGACTTACCCCGCGGGCCCAGTGCGGATTGGTGGGTGCTAACGACTACAGATACAGCCAGGACCAACTCGAAGTAATCATTTTTTGATCATCCATCCTTTGCCCGGCCATTGTAATAATAGCTTAAATTCCACGATCCTTTCCAAATTTATTTACCGTTATTTTTTTATTTAAGACCGGCCAGGCAAGCATGGGCAATTTTCTACAATAGAATTGCCCCTGCTTGCTTACATCATAAGAAAGCAATTAAGGACTCTTACATCCTAGATTGAATGTAAGTAGCTTATCTTAATGTGCGATAGTAGAACGGCAATCAAATGACTATTTTGCTTTTCTTCGTTGATGACAAAAACACATATTTAGGACAAAAATAGATTTATTTAGAAAAGGAACTCAGGAGCAGACACATACCTAATAATATCACATCACATAATACTAACGGACTACTACAGCAAATTTGATTTGCCTAAACAACAAAAACTGTGGCACTTTATTTAAGTACATGTATATGTGGAACCAATTTTGTCTATGATGATATTTTAATAATCAATGGTCGAGTCTGTACTTTGGTATTGATTGGTAGTGGAACAAATTTTGTCTTTGATGATTTTTAATACTCTATCTATCGAGTCTGTACTATATTAATACCATAGAATAGTCCATACCATATAATACCATAGTCCGTCTAGTAGAAAGAGAAAGAAGACGAGAGGCCGTTAGCTATCTCTCTCTCTCTTGTGACGCAACAGTAAGCATCTTACTATTTCGATGTGATGCCATACATCGAAGTAGTAAGATGCTTACGGTTGCCAATGCGCATGCGCGATTAGAGAGAAAAGCTAACGGTCTCTCATCTTCTTTCTCTTTCTATTAGAGGGACACTTCTACTTGTAGTAGAGTCTATATCTCCCCTACTCTATTCTTATACCTCTATGATTAATATAGTCTGCTACGCGGCACTAGATCGACTGTATTGTAAAAATTTAAACAAAAATCTGCATCACATGAGACGTATTTTATGTAAAACTACAGTATACATCCCGGCAAACTTCTTACCCCTTATTAATAGACGACGACTAAGCTTGGATTAGTTACTCTATGTTTTGTCTCTGTTCATTGAAGGAGAAATGGCACTTGAGTTATATGAACAAAAGGCGGCGTAACAAGGTTAGGCTTATTCCTCGTTTATAAATAAGGGGGCTTGAGTATCGACCATAGACAAGAAAGCTTGCGTAGTAGCAGTTTTACATACAAAAACGTCTACTGCGCAAGTTTATTGTCAGTGGTGTTGCTCAAGGAGTTTGCCGTTACCGAGTTTTATGCATGGTGTTGGCGTTATTGTATGCATAAATAGTTCCGAGCTCTGCGGCCACGGCGGCCAGCAACCTTATAATTAATCTACAACAGCAAGTATCCCAACTAATGCAGATGATTTTGAAACTTGCACAAAGAATAGAAAATGTGAGGCCTACCAATCCTCCGCAGTTCAACTTGAACATGTTACAAGTTTATAAATATAAATATAGTTTATAAATATAAGTATAGTTTATAAATGTCGATGCCGACGCCATCACAATTTTCGTTCAAAGTAACTGACTGGCAATCATGGATAACTAGATTTGAACAATACCGAGATACCACAAAACTTAAAATATTGCCGGGAGAAACACAGATGAAATCACTTTCATATACGATGCGTAATAAGGCTAACGAAGTTTTTGAATCATTTAAATTGTTTACTAGATTTGAACAATACCGATATACCACAAAACTTAAAATATTACCGTAAGAAACACAGCTGAAATCAGTTATATAAGATGGCCAATAAGGCCAAAGATGTTTTTGAATCATTTAAATTGTCTACTAGATTTGAACAATACCGCGAGATACCACAAAACTTAAAATATTGCATGAAGAAACACAGCTGAAAGCACATATACCTACGCTAGGCAAAAGGGCTAACGATATTTTTGAATTTTCTCAAGATGATACCAAAATATACAACGTTGTGAAGAACAAAATTGATTCAATTATCTTGCGAAGAAACTCATAATTATGCGAGAACACGTTTCAATCAGAGAACACAGGGAGCTGGTGAAAAAGCGCCTGATTTTATCACAGATTTGCACACCCTTGCTAAAAAGGCTAATATGGCACATTAGAAGACAAATCTCTTATATAAGAATACTAGCTGACTCAGCGAACTTCGTACCACCCAAAAGTAATAATTTGCAATAAAATAATATTTCGACTATAAATTGAGATGTAAACTATCCTATCTTTCAAGCGCGCTGGCGTCTTTCCCTTAAGCTGTCCCAGAGCGGACTAAAATGGCGTCACCAAGTGTGAAAGATCGAATGTCCCAGATATTTGCGATGCGATGCGAATTCGCAGCAATGTGTGGAAGTCCTAAATTATAGATCTAGATACTGAACCAAGTTTGGAAGTCGTTATTAACACAGTTCGGCATGTCGAAGACGCCAACATAAGCACTCTAACGCAAGGAAACACATCCGTACCGCTATTAGGCTTACCAGTACCCTTAGTACGATTGCGAGCTCACGAAAACTATCATAGTTTTTGTAATTGTAAAACTCGTACTAAGGGTACTGATAATAGCTACAAAACTACCCGAGGATGAATACAAAGGTAATGGTGCTATGAAAAACAAGTACCTACTGTATTACCTGAAACCTGTAACATCATCCTATTAATGTCCCCACTGCTGGGGCACAGGGCTTCCCTATGGATGAAATAGGGAGATTGGGACATAAATAACCCACCACGCGGGCCCAGTGCGGATTGGCGGGTGCTAACGACTGCAGATGCAGCCGGGACCAACGGCCTAACGAGCCTTCCGAAGCACGGAGGAACTCGAGATAGAAGATTTTTGGTCACCCATCCAATGACCACTGCGAAAGTTGCTTGACTTCAACGATCGCAGCCGAACACGCGTACCACGGCGTGAAACACTTCCTTTGATGCCAAAAGTAGAACAAGAACTTCAAAAGTTGAATATCATTTAACGAGCAAGATAACCAACTATATGGTACTCGCCAATGGTACCGATAATAATTAATTAGGAAACGAAGAAAGCATAACTCAACGATATGAAATAGATTATGGAATCATTATTCTCTAAAAAAGGCCACATTGTTCCAAACTCATGCAAATAAACTTCAATTCTACCGCGACAATGTATCTTAACAAATCAAATCTACAAATGAATTCGACTATTCTACTTCATAAGGCAAGGTAAATATAATGGTAAACGGATATCCCAACCAATCCCATGATGGGCGTATTGATCGCAGGTTTTTCGCCGCGCCCACTCGATTGCAGTTTGCATTGCACCACTTTTTAGTGCATTTCGTATTCCATATTAGTGGAGAATTATAAATAGCATTGTTTAATTCAATTTGAAAAGCTATGGTTGATATTTGTCTGTTAATCTTCCAACAAATTAGTAAATTATTTCTAATTCGTTGGCATAACTGTCGATTACACCGTATTAAACAAAGCTATTTATCGTGAATACTACGACGACAGCTATCTGGAGCTAGTTTTCACCAAAATCGGTTGCACATACAAGTACTAATTAATTATTAAATATGAGATCAAATATATCACTCGATTCACTAATCGGTATGTTATTAAGTATTTCTAAAGTAAATTCCATTTTGAATTCGTTACGACAAAAAATCTAGATTTTCAATCTTGTATAAGATTTGGAAGGATTTCGAAGACTAGAATGGATTATTCTGAATCTCATAATCACAATCCATTTATACTTTGTTTTTTTGAACACCATTATACGTTTAAGGAGGCAGAGACGACTGACTATATATGGTGACTAACTTTTATTTCTTTTCCCATCAGGTAAATTATCAAAAAGTTATGGTCACGTGTTTTTTCTTTTTCCTCATAATCAAAATTTCATAGAGATATATTGATTTGAAATTTCATATGACGTCGATTTTGATCAATTTTTACTTCGCAGTGACGTCACGAGGAGGAGTTGGGAGTGGGGAATCCCAAACTTTGCCGTGCTTTATCTATGTAATTTTTCTGTCGATGGATAAAAGAAAAAAAAAGAGTCCATTCTTTTTTGAAATACTAATTCTATTACCTCGTCGTCATCCCTATTGTATTTTTCATAAACTGCCAAATCTCATAAAAGGGGTTGTCCATTAATCACGTAAGGCTCTAAAGGGGGGGAAGGGTTCATAAAAATCATTTCATCATTTCGTGATTTTTATACCACGGAAATACACGTGATATATTATTACACCCGCCTGCCACTATTACAGTATCCTCGGACCACAGAAATACACGTGATATATTATATCGGCATTAACTGTCAGACTACTGTCAAACTCCATAGTAGTCTGACAGTTAATGCCGATATAATATATCACGTGTATTTCTGTGGTCCGAGGATACTGTACATTAAATAATGTTCATGTATTAGTACAAAAAAGATGTTCGCATTTCATTCATTATTTTTATGTCAGTCAAAAACAACTTCAACTTTTCTACCTATCTTTAATTTTCTATAATAAAATTAGATGATAATTGTACCTATATTTATAAATATTTAAAATAATAAGATTCTAGAAAGTACTACAAAATACACGTGAAATAGTATCACCAAGGGGGAGGAGGGGGTTAAAATATGCAAAACAAAACATCACGTGATTAATGGACGGCCCCTAACCTACTAATGAATTAATAACTTATTAAGATTTGACACACTGTTTTCCGCTAATGAGGCCCTTTTTGTGTAGATTCACAATGGAATCAGCTATAATTCTTGCAGTTTTCCTGAGGTACCCACCACTGGTGAGCATCACTATGGGAATGCGGTTCTCTTTGCATATCTCGAACACGAATTCGTCCCTTTTAACTATACCCTGAAAACATAGATATTATCAAACTTTAACGGAATTCGACGATATAATCAATAATAAAAAAGTATTTATGAAAAAAAACTAAATAAAAAATGGTAAAGTGCGAGTGGAACTCGCGCACCGAGGGTTCCATACAAACTAAAGTGTTTGTTTGTATGTAGTTTAAAAATAACGGGAATTTTCTTAATTTTAAAGGCCCCTGGTTAGTTTATCAATATTGCAATTAGTCTGAAATCGCAATTAAAATATTTGTGAGACGTAAATAACAACAGTACCCTTAGCACGAACCAATACCGAATTCATAACGTTTGTGAATACGCAATGTCATTGTCAATTGTGTACTGATTTTTAATTCTTGATACTTACGTTATGGCGCTGCTGTTCAAGTTTTCCTACAAAATTTGACAATGACATTTTGGACTTGCAAACTATTCGATTTCGATAATGGTTCGTGCTAGGGGTGCAGTTTTGTGCAGTGCATGGCATTGATCCTTGTCACATTTCATGAGAAATCAACAAAAAGTACCTTATAGGTTTTGTCAACATATACGGTATAAAATGAGCATAAATGGCTATATTTGTTGATATAGTATTGACTCAAAAGTTTTTTTTTGTCGCTGCTTCAAGGAATTGCAGGCTTGCATTTTCTATTATTTTAGCTTCTCGAGAAAAATGGTTTTAAAGACAGGCGAGCAACAAAGTGATCCTATAAGGGATCGGTTATTTTTTTTATGGTACAGAACCATAAAAATAAAATATTATTAAAAAATAATTTTAGGACATGTGATTTATTTCGCCTACTTTTGCATAAAAAAGATAGTCACAAATATAACTAAAATGTGTAGCCAAGAGATTTTCTAAATATTTGGATTTACTTACAATTTCGCTTATCCTCATTTGCCCCAAAGGATCAGAGTCCAATATGTCTGTTCCAGCGTTGTACACCAAAATATCCGGCCTGAACTCTTTTAGAGCTGCCTTAAGGTTTCTACAAGAAATTATTTTATATAAAAGCAGTTTCGAATCAAAATTCGCGACAAGAAATTGTCTATGTGACTCTTTCTATAGGTACCTATGTCCATGTGACTCTTTCTATAGGTACCTAGTCAGGTCATAAATTATGTCACATGTTAATATAAAATAATTGAAACAAGTTTATTCATTATGTAACCATTTATATAAAGACGATAAAGTTTATTCAAAATGACCTCCGTGATTTTAAATACAGGCCTTCAATCTGCGCGGCCAGTCGTCTATCGCAGCACGAACGAGGTCCATGTCAATATCGGCGGCTGCCTTAATCAAGGATGTCTTGAGTGACTCCAAATTGGGATGAGGCTTTGAGCACGCCTTTTCCTCCGAGTGTTGCCATATCTTGTAATCTAACGGACTCATATCTGGACTGGAGGAGGGCCACTCTTCGTGCCGGATGAAGTCGATTTCACAGTCGATTTTCAGTCTTGTGTGCTCTTCGCTCTATGAGCTGGCGCCGAATCTTGTTGGAATGAATACCCAGTGCCTGTTATTGAACATGGTATGAGAAACAGGTTCCACAAGGTTCGTCAGGACTGTATTTTGATACACAACTGCATTCGTTTTTACACCTTTCTTACAAAAATGTACCTCTGTTAAGCCCCAACAAGAAACTCCCAACCATACCATAAGCGAGGATGGAAAATGACCTCGTTGGACACGCGGACTACGGTTGCTCGCTTCTTCACTACTCTTCACTACTGTGTGCTTACACCTTATCATTTTGTTTGTTGTTGCTCTCTTCTACGGTAAAAATTTTTTCATCCGAAAAAAGAATTTCCCGGTGTTTTTTTCCCGCGTACCGCTTCAACAAAGCGCGGCATCTCTTCAGTCTCAGGTCCATTAGACGAGCATTCAAACGATGTCCGGTTTTTCTTCGATATGCCCGAAGCTCTAAGTCTTCATTTAACACCCTTTTCATCGTGGTTCTACTTAACCCCATCTGAAGGGCCAACAGTTTCTGCTTACGTTTGGGATTTTATTGAATTCGCGGCTTCACAGCTTTTATCACTGCTGGAGTCCTAACAGACCGAGGGCGACTACTTTTTGACCTGTCATCAAGAGCGGATCCAGAGGGGGGGTCATGGGGCCATGACATTTTCACTATGTCAAAAATTAGAATTTGCGCGTAACCGCAACGATGCAACGCAATAACTGCAACACTTATTCTTATTTAAGTCTTATTTAAGCCTCCACTCCAATTTAAAAATGAGTAAAATTCTAAAAAGTATACATTTTTATTTTCATGAACAATTCGACATTCGAATTCAATAAACTTTTTTGTGGCCAGCATTCTAAAAGAAAGGTTTTTACTGTGTGACAATACATGATCTCACAGTGTGTATATGCATCAAAATTCATCAAAATCGGTTCAATTGATGTATCAAAATCTAAATAAAACACCTCAGTAACTATTAATTTTTTGCTGTGTTGATATTGATGGATTTAAGATAGTTTGATAGATAGTCAAACTATCTGCATATAGCAAAGCAAAATTAATTGCGCGATTTAGCTATAACAGAAGAAATTGAACAATGTTTTGTTTGTTTTGAGAGACAAAATTACTTTAAAAATAGGTTCATCCTATGACGTCTCACCCTACTCATTATTTTTAACCGACGAAAAAAACGGAGGAAACCTATTTTTACTTTGGATGGCCTGGTACTGGCACGAACTCCAAATATTTTGACTAAAGATAAAAAACCTTTAGTATTTTTTTTACTTTTCGACGGCTTATGTAATTTTTGTTAAAATATTTTTCCTTGCTCAATCTATTTTATGTTCCTAACTCAACCCGTTTCATTACAAATTCCTAATATTAATCAAAACAGCATTCCTAGCTCACTCCATTTGCAATATCACGTAAAATAATCAAATTCCTACTCACGTTCTAAGTTTGAGCATGTACTCCAGGTCTTCGACTTTGTTACCCAGCTCCACTTTCCTGCGTATAGCGAGTTTGGCTTCCTTGTCACGAGGGAATATGTGACGATTGTACATGTCCATTATATACACCTCGGGTACACCGAGGAAGTCATGTTGGTAACCATTGCCCTGTGGAGATGAACTGATTACCGACTCCACGGAACAGGGGATTGTGTCAGGGTTAGGGTTACCAATCGTCCGGATAAGTCCAAAAATGTCCGACTATAGTGCGGACTTTGTCCGGATCTTTAAATTGTCCGGATTTTTTAAATTACATTGGATAAAAAAATTAATTAATTTAAATAAAAGTACATATTGATTTTAACATCATACATTGTAACTGAGTAATGGTACCATTTTGTGACTAAAAAGTCCGGACTTTTTACGAAATGTCAGGATTTTTGTCAGGACTTTTGTATTTCCTAAATGGTGACCCTAGTCAGAGTAAGCAACGGTGCAAGCGAAATTGTTGGTATCGCAACTTAGATTAAAACAAAAAGGGAAGATACGGCACTCGCGGCTCAAAAGTGATCCGCTTAAATTGTTGTCCTTGACCACAATTCGCTTTAGTCACTATTGGACATCCAAACACGATGCACGTGCACTCAATATAACAATATTGCGTATATTCTGTGTTATAAATATAAAACAATGCCTTCGATGCTTTTATAAAGAACACAGATAGTTCTACTGTTACTGATTCGCCATTTTTATCAAGAAAAGGACAACAATACAACTCAGCCGTCCGTAGAGAGAAAAGTAAACGCAGTCGGCTGGAAAGCGACGCGGACTCGCGCCGTTTCGCTCATGCTGCGTTGAAGCGTACAATTCTGTCTCGCTCGCTCGATTAAAATTTTATTGAGTTGCTTATGTAGTTGAGTCGGAGCATATCTTATTTGATGCTAGTATGAGCGTACCGTATCTTCCCATTTTGTTTTAATCTAAATATCGCCCGGTGTCCCGATTTGCACGGGACGTCCCGATTTTCAGGGGTCTGCTGACGCGTCCCGATTTGTACCTGATAGGGACGCTAAATGGCCTGATTAATCAAAAAATGAAATTTAGTTAATTTTTATACTACTATACTTGCACTAGTAGTTTAAAATGCAATAAATTAAATCCAGACTTAAAAAACCCTTGCTTTTTGTTTACTGTCCCGATCTGCAACCCTAAATCCCGATTTTTTTGCCCTCATGTACCGATTTAAATCAAATCGGACCTGGCAACACTTATCGCAAGCGTCTATAGGCTATGGTGGCTGCTTATGCTTGCTGCTGGCGGGCCATACGCTTGTTTGCCACCCTTTTAACATAAAAAACTGTACTTAGAGACTTCAAATAAATTTCATTTTAGTAATATAAAGTGCTACGTTGACTTGAACATCATCATCAGGCAATTAACATACCTAATGCTGAGGCACAGGCCCTCCCTATGTATGAAATAGAGTGATTGGTGTGGATTGGTGGGTGCTAACGACTGCAGATGCAGCCGGGATAACAGCTTAGTCTGCCTTCCGAAGCTAATAAAGGCTTGAGTTAATACATTTTGGTCACCCATCCGATGACCAGTCATAGCGAAAATTGCTTAACTGTTTGCAGAATTAGCCTCTCATGCTGTGTCTATTGTAATCGCAAAGAAAGTGACAGCACTTACTTTAGGAAAACTTAAAAGTTCATTGCTGTCTGTTTAATAAATCTGCTTAAAAATTAATTGGAATTATGTAAATAGAAAATGACAATTATCGCATCTCCTTAAATTATATTATAACTACTCTCAATAACTCTCACAGTCTGGATTAAATGTAATTGGAACTTACAGCCTGCTAGGGATATTCAAGCATTCATGTTCAATTTTCGACGATTCAGTATATAATTTATTTATGAATGGCGCTATTGAATATAAATTATTTATTGTTTATTCACCTGATGAGCATCCAAATCCACGATCATCGCATTCTGTATCATATTATGAGAGATAAGGAACTGTATGAGCAGAGTGATGTCTGCGTATGGACAGAAGCCACTGCCACTCTCACCGCTGCAATGGTGAAATCCACCACCAACATTGATCGCCCAACCTCTCTCTAGAGACAACTTTCCTGCCAAAATGGAGCCACCTGTCTGCAATCTGGCATAAAAAAATCCGGTGATAAATAAAGCAAAGCGACGACCTGCGTGGTTTCAAGGTGTCATCTGCTCAAAGGTCTCAGTCTCGAATCCCAATGGAGGCAAATTTTAGTGAACAAGAACATTTGTACTAGACTTGCAACGAATATTCGGTTACTATTCGGTATTCGGCCTATTCGGCTGCTTTTATTATATTCGGCCGAATACCAAATACTTAAACAATATATTTTGTCATAGAGAAATAATTGGTAAAATGAAAAATTAAAATCGATTGGTTACGTATATATTCATATTTTCATTTCTGTTATATATAATCATTTAAGTAGTCATTGGTACATAACACATGTACATAATCATCTTCTGAATTGGAAAAATGGAGGATTCTATGTATTTGAATTATTGTGGTAATCAAAATAAGATAAGGTTCTCATTTCTTTTATAATCATTTGTTAACAGGTACAAAATTTAATCATTTTCTGTATTAAATAAGTTAAAAAAAATATGCATTTGAATTATTTTCATAATCAAAATTTAGAAGGGGAAGGTAATGGTGCAGAAAGACTAACTTTTCTGCATTTTTAGGAAGTAGTTTACTTTTTTTTCTCGTAGACCATGCCAGCTTCGGAGAAAAGGCGCTCTGAATAAACACTACTTCCTGGCGCCGTGGAATATTTGCTGCAATCTTAAACAAACACGGAAATTCAAATTTCCTTGCTGCCACCATGTATACGGGTTGTCATGACGTGATATATTACTAATATTTAAGAAAAGATCCATTTCTGTTGAAACTGCATTTGACTGAATTACACTGCAAATAAAGGAGCGCGAAACAATCACGTATGTACAAGTTTTTGGCGCTAAAATCCAGCCGAATACTTTTGCCTAATATTTGGCTATTCGGTCAGGGGCCTCGCCGAATATTCGGTATACTGCCAAATATACTATTCGTTGCAAGTCTAATTTGTACCATAGTCATGAACTTTTATATAATTAAAATGAAATATACTTATATATGTATCAGTTTATGTATTTTATCCGTTAACCTAGTAACCCATAACACAAGCCTTAGTGTTTACTTTGGGGCTAGGCTAATTGGTGTATCATAAAAAATAAAAATAGTTTAACTGGATTCATTCATCAGAGGTAATGTATTGAGGAACACGATGGCGCGAGTGGTTAGCGCGTTCGGTTGCCATCGTTGAAGTTATCGTTCTTTCGCAGTGGTCGGTCATTGGATGGGTGACCAAAAATTTACTATCTTGAGCTCCGCCGTGCTCGGAAGCCACGTCAAGCCGTTGAACTCGACTGCTTTTGCAGTTGTTAGCACTAATACGCACTGGGCCCGAGTGGTGGGTCATGGCAAAATCTTCCCACTTCGTCCTTATGGAGGGCCTGTGCCCCAGCAGTGTGGACATTAATAGCCTGATGATGATAGTATTAAACAAACCTCATTGGTTTCAAGTAAGCATACTGCACCAGCGCATTGGGTACACAAGCAATGATTGGCACTTCAGCTATAACTGCAACATTAGCGCTCCACTGGGAACAATTTTATTTTGGAATTTTATTAGTAATTCATTATTACAAACTGGCAACAAAGGGCCACCAAGAAGTGGTTATCATGTCAAGGTTGTGTTTGAAAATACTTTTATATTCTTTTTATCCTTTGTTAATTCTTAAATCAATATTATTGATTGACTTCTATGTATGTATGTATTTTTTTAAAGAGAAAGATAGTTTTGACAAATAAATAATAAAATTAGGGTAGCCTTATTTTTTAGGCTTTGGTCTCCTATAAATGCCATAGGTCGCGTACAGTGCCACGCCGCATGCCGCGTCAAGATGCTTACTATGAAAATGTACTGTTGTGGTCTCTTTCATATGCTGACGTCGTCGGTGGGCATAGTGACGCGACATACAGCGTGGCACTGTACGCGGCCTATGGCGTTTATAGGAGACCAAAGCCTTATGCTGCCTATAAAAGAATAGTTTCTTCCGTTTCAGTTTAGAATTATTTTTCCTAGCACTCAAGCAATTGTTCAATTATTATTAATGGCACTGTTTAGTTTTATACAAGTGAGCCTGAAAAGTTTAAAAACGAATCACAAAACAGTAGGCTCAGCAATGTCAACTAAACTTTCAGTTTTGCCAGAGGGGTTTAATTGTCAATTTAGTGCGAGATTAAATGATAATGAAACTTATTAAATATTTCTTCTTTTAAAAAGACTGTAAAGTATAGTCTGGCAGACACAAGATTTTACAATTACAAGAAGTAAGCAAAAGCAAAAAATTATCCCGATCTTTCAGTAACATATTAAAATAATGAAAAAAAAATTAATCATCTACCAGACCTTTAGTGATTTCAGGTACTTTTTGGTATGTACAACTAACAGATCCCTCTTTTGAGCTTCCAGAGGCTTCACCAAACACTCATCAGTTATGAGCTCCGCATTTTTAAGATTCTGAAAAATAAAGTTCCAGTTGTTGATAATGTATTTTAACAGTTCATCGCACAAAAAACTATCTGCTAGATATGATATCATGTGGATAAACACATATGCGTAAATTTTAACAATGGTTAGGCCTTTGTTTGAAATTTACGCTGGGTATATGATTTGGTCAGTCATTGATAAATTAAAACAATTTATGAAGATTATCAACATGACAAACTGGGGCTTTCATCAACATGAAAAACTTTCCTATGGATAGCACATTTTTTATTTACTTTCGGATACAATTCGAAAACTCGTAGCCTATGTTAGTGACCTGAATAATGTTGCGCCATTTCTTGGCGTCGAAAATGTGAAACTTCTCGAGACCCAAAAACGACACATTGTAATTATCATCATAAACCAACGGCCACTGATCTTCTCTGATATCAAAATAAAGGCTGCAATATTGAAATAATCAGTAATAAAACTAGCACACGTAAAACACATTTCGAAAAACTTCACAACATTTTCTTACTGATATAAAAATATTGATAATAGAAACAAGAAATCCCCCACACCTTGTCATTATTAACAATCTTTAGCCATAATCTTAGTAATCTATGTTATTATCTTTAATCAAACTAAAAGTCATATTTTTTAAAGAAAAATGTTTTGCGGTTTGTGGCGAATTTTGCAAATAGTTTCGCGCATAAATGTCATTGTCAAATTGACAGCAGGCCAGTGTCGCCAGATCTGGAAATAAAAACGCGTTACAAATACTCAAAGACACCTCAAACACAATATTCACAAAAAATGGGTGCGTGTACTTATGTAGGTGCGTGAGAAGTTATCCTTCTTTGGCATCGTTTAAAATTAGTTTTTAATTGCATGTAAATAATTAATTACAATAAATTAATAAAAAGTCTGGAAAAGGACACAGTCAATAAAGTTCAGTTTTAATTTGAAAAATAAATAAATAATCAAAATATTCAATTAAAATCGCTACTGAATATAATTTATTAGAACATATGTGATTTGCACTTGTATGAAACTCAAACACGTATTCCGAATATACAAACTAGAAACATGTGGATAAATATTATAAACTAGCGGCCCGCCCTTGCTTCGCTTCGGTGTAGAGCTGAAGTGTAGACTACAGTTTTTGTTCTCAGGCTTGTATTATACACAATGACATTCATCTATGATTCTTCTTATACCTGCATGCAAAGTCTCAGCCCGATCGGTTTAAAATTGATAAAGTTTCATACAAACTTTCATTCCTTATTTTATCCCCTTGGGATTTTCTTTATATTTTTTTCCGTAAGAACCTTGTACAGAGTATTAGAAAACTGCAAAAAAAAAACAGCCAAATCGGTCAAGCCGTTTTCATGTTATGTCGTGACAACGGAAAACGGGTTTCATTTTTATATATATAGATATGAAAACAGTCTCTCTTCTAAATTCAAAACTCGTAACTTTTCCCGATGTTTGTTGTACGTGTTTCCCGCGCTAGGACCGCGAGTGGCCGCGCATGCGTACGGTGCGGCGGGCGACGCGGTAATGGCAGCGCGGCACATGAAGTTGGTCGCTAAAGCGACCAACTTCATGGTGTTAATTTTTTGTGTTACAGATGCGCGCGCATCTTAAAATTTCACTCTCATAATTTTTTTATAACGCGCCTAAAGAAGTATAACTTCAATAAAGTGTTCCTCATTCATCAATAAAAATTTCCTTATTCATGGCGGTTGTACAACCAAACAAAATATAGATTGTTTTAGTAGATTCGAAAAAAGCGGAACGGCGTAAGTTAAAACGGAAAGCGGATCCATTGTCAAAAAGGCGGTAGAAAAAGCGGAAAGGCGGTACAATCTGGCAACACTGCAGCAGACGGTAATGTTGCTACTATGAAAATATTATAATTATTATAAGTACAAAATTTTAACTGGTGTAACAAAACACTCTAATGAAGTCAACGGGACTTGTATTTTCATTATGATTTTCACGGATAAACCTACGCCAATCACCCAGTGCTCATAATGGTAGTTTTCCAATTACAGAGCATAATGCGAGTCAGTGGCGCACAATGCCGAATTATGCTGATGCTTAATTGGAACGTAAATTACTTTTGAAATGCACCAGCAGAGTGCGCTAAGTTCAGTGTTGAAAAAAAAAGTCAACTTATATTTATTTTTTTAACACAGTTTGAATTAACTTTGATTATTTAAAAAAAACTACAAACGAATGAAACGAAGCTTTAAAAGTTTTTCAACAATAAATAATATTACTAACGATAATATATAAATAAAACATTTCGATCAATGCTAACTTAAGGAAAAAAACACTTGTTAATTTTCTGTCACTGAGTCACGATTGCACGCATCACACGAAAACATTACTTTTGAGAGTGCTCGATTGTGCGAAGCGTTGCTGTAGTTGAAACATTCAACGTTAAGCATTATGCCGCATACAAATGCATAATGCGCTCTAGTTCTGTAATTGGAAAACTACCAGTATACAAAAAAAAATTTTGTAACGTTGACAAACAAAAATATTGCCGTAAAAATTGTAACAATGTTACAAGAGCGCGGCACCCATGAGCCAATTGGTTTCACGCCTTTTAGTGTTTTATACATATATATTAGTTTTATAAGTACAAGTTAGAAAGCACTCATGTGAATAAGGGCTTTAATAAAAGTTAGGCTTTATGTAATAAACCTCTTTGCTTGTTGCCTAGCAACGTCATGGACATTTCCTCCCGCGAAATGTAAACAAAGTGGCAAGTGGATTACTTCGCAATACCAACTATTTTTCAAAGTTCTAGTAATTTGTACAGATAGTAAAATTATTTTAAGTTAATTATGGAAAATAACTTAGAATCCCTACAAAATGAAGTGGATTTTTACAGGGTACTTTGGCTCTATTATATTATTAATTTTAATAAAACAAACTTTTGATTGAAATCATACTTCTGTAAATCCATAAGTAATACAAATATTATTCCTCTTTCCCCTTATTTCCATTTTCAAATGAAAAAATATTTTAAGGATATAAAGCAATTTCTATTTATTTCATAACTACTTCTAAAATTTTGAAAGCGATGCAATGATTTCATAACTTAGTTTGGCGATATTTGATATCTTTCTTTTACATTGTACATTAACAGCAAAATCAGGCAATAGTAGAACAAGATATACATAAGCTGATAGAAGACAATCAGAGATTATCACAGCAAGTTGAACATTTGATGCGAGAAAAGCAACATACTGAGAGAGCACAACTGAACAATAATGCCGATAAAGAAATAGAAGAGTTAAGAAAACAAATCTTACTTATTACCAAGGTGAGTTGAATTCTTCACGTAGGTACCTAGGTATAAAATTTTGAAAATATTGTAACATTTAAAGGAACCGTTGGTAATATCTGGTAAAATGCGCGAATGCACAGCCAAGTGGTAAAAACTTTGTTTTGACGGCAAAGAGAAGTGAATGCTGGTGCAACAGTGCAACCAAGATGGCGCAGGTGGCTAGCACGTTTGGCTGTGATCGTTGAAGTGAAACAACTTTCGCAATGGCCGGTCATTGGATGGGTGACCAAAAATCTTCATCGCTAGTTGCTCCGTGCTTCGGAAGGCACGTTAAGCCGTTGATCCCGGCTGCATCTGCAGTCGTTACCACCCGCCAATCCGCACTGGGCCCACGTGGTGGGTCATGGCTCAATCTCCCTATTCCATCCATAGGGAAGGCCTGTACTCCAGCAGTGGGGACATTAATAGGCTGATGATGATGATGATGAACCAAGATCTTGTTGCACGTGGCCGAAATCGGACCAATTTTAAGAGACCTCAATAATTATATTTTGATTTTTGACGTGATAACGTCTTACAAATCGATGCTGTTTCAAATGTTACGCATTGGTTGTTTGTAGAATTTGGTTTTCTCTGCAAATCAGTATTTAATCATTTGAATATCGAAGTAAATCATATCTTTTAACTATTTTCTTTTGACGTGATAACGTCTTATAACTCGATGAACACCAGCTACACGCACTAAAAAGTGTGACGTTATGTGACGTCATGTTACGAGTCACGATTAATTCAACTTTCCTTGCTCGGAGGGTTTGCTTCGACCCCCCCCCTTCTTCCTCCCCACTAACGCCCCATGACCCACCATGACCCCGCTGACCACACCTGACCACCCCCACCCCTAATCTCCCTCAAAGAGTACCTCACTCCCGTAAAGCCTAACTCAGACCTCCATGAAACTACAGAGGCGTGCTTGGGCTCAAACGAACCGGAGCAACAAGCCCCATAAAACTGCCACGAGGAAAACAGCTTACGACACGTTATCACGTAAAATTATCATAGAGGTATAAGAATAGAGTAGGGGAGATATGTACTCTACTATAAGTGGAAGTGTCCGTCTAGTGGAAAGAGAAAGAAGATGAGAGACGGGTAGCTATCTCTCTCTCTTATGACGCTGCGCAGTCGTGTGATTGGTCGGTATTGCTGCGCAGTCGTGTGATTGGTCGGTATTCATCCGTAGGTTTTTCATCCAATGCGCATTCGCGATTAGAGAGAGAAAGGCTAGCCGTCTCTCATCTTCTTTCTCCTTCTACTGGACGGACACTTTTACAGACACCTTCCCCACTCTATTCTTATACCTCTATAAAAATTATTGTCCTCAAACCGACTTTACAGACAACTGTTTCCGCAATATGATATATACACTGGCGGTCAAATAAACCGTTCCACTTCCAATGTATAAGTTCAAATACGATTTCTCTCGAATATATATGATTAAAATTGTAGATAATGTGGTACTGTTAGATAGTTTATTTTATAGGCTTTATTTGAAGGGTATAACAAAAAGTGTGAGACAATAATATGCCCTACTCTGCTGGTATACTTAAATAAAGACAGTTTTATCAATTTTGTACCAAACATTGTACATGGTTTGAGTTTAATAAAAGCGGGTATTCGATTTGTTTTTTATGATTTTTTTTATTCGCGGTTATAGTAGTCCTAAGTCTAAGTCTTACGGTTGATTTTGTTCATTAAAATGGATACTACGCCTCAGGAAACTGTCCAAACCGTCGCATTACTTCTATCGGGCCTTAGTCAACTTCGAGTTGCTCAAATGTTGGGAATAAGTCGCTCTTCGGTACAGCGCAGCGTGTCTACATGTCTACAGAAGCTATCAGGAGACTGGAGCCTTTCTCTCACTTCACTCAGCAGATATTGTACTACTTTACAATTTTCTCTCAAAATAAAGCTTATAAAATAACCTATCTAACAGTACTACTTTATACAAAATTGCGATCGAACATTCGAAGGAAATTGCAATTGAACTCGAGGATTGCTAGTGGCCCGGTTTATTTGACCGCCAGTGTAGCACGCCTGACTGTCGCACTCTATAGTCCATACCCCGGTGCTGGGGGGGCTGGAGCTAGTGGGGTTATCTTATTAAAATATAATAAAATAGACGTCAAAAATTTTCATTTCGGAGCGGCTCCTTCAGCCCTTCCAATATAAAAAAGCATACGAGAGTATCATAGAACTCGGTTGGAACGTAGTTAAAAAATACACAACTAATACATACAATACGCTACGAAACAACTGACGGTCATGACGAAAAATCTTACACTTTTTTCCCCAAAACCGTTTCTCGATCCGCCAAGCCCGTACTCTGAACCGTGCGATAAGGAACTTTGTCCAAAACTTTAACAGTTATTTAGTAGCAGTAGAGGATTAACAAGCTTCCTTCTTTTACTTCCGTGGAAGTGATATATATGTACACCGGTTTAAGGTGTCACCTACTCACAGGTACTGGGCAAATGTTTAATTAGTATAAAGTCATGGTTGTTTGTGTATATTTCTACAAAAATATACCATCTATGTATCTTTATAAGTATTTCTACTCTAGTATTGTTACTCTAGTATCCTCTAACATAAGCCTTACAATTTCTTTAAGCTTTGTGGCTAAACTTATTGGTGTGTGTAAAAATATTTATTTATTTTCTTAACCATTACGGTGTTACTACAGGAAAGAGACTCCTTGCACGTGCTCTGGCAAACTTCACAGAAAACCATCGACGCTTTAGAGACCGAATTGAAAGCATATCAAAGTTATACTGGAAAGCAGGTAAGTAAGTATTATCTTAACAAACAGAGGAAACAATAAGATGGTTTCCAGTCTTTCTACTTTGCACTTAATCACTAACTTGGCGTAGCGTTTGACTTTCACAAGAGCTTGTAACAGCCCAGACTGAATAAATAAATTTGAGTTTCTTGAATATTTATATGTACAGGATACAAATGAAGGCGTGCGAGAAGTACAACTTAAATTCGACACTGCTCTACAAGATTATCTGGAATTGGAAACAAAGTACAAAGATTTGAGTGCAAAGTTAAGCTCTTTAGAGACAGAACTTAAATACAAAGACAAAGAAATCGTCACTTACAAAGAAAGAGGTAAAGAAATCGAAGACAAACTTAAGGAAATCACAGCAGAATTAGATGAATATAAAATGAATTTGGCGGCAGAAAAAAAAAATAATGAAGAAATCAGAGCTCAACTGCTGTCGTGTCAGAAAGAGTGTGTGGACGAAATAAAGAGGGAATTAGAAGCTAAATCAAAGGTGACTAAAAATAGTACCTAATAGTTTCAAATAATTTTCTTAGCCATATTTTTGAATCATAATTATTATAGATTCATGAATTTAAAAGATCCCATATCCTAACATATAAAAAAGTTTAAATTTTGTATTACGTCAGATTCAAATCAAAATAATTCTAGGTGGCGGAAGCACTACAGCTTTTCGATCTAGTATCGACACAAAAGCACGAGGCACATAAGAAAATTTCAGAATTATCAGGTATGACATATTATTATTTAATTGATAAAAAAATCCATTGGTTTTTGAAAATATATAAGTAACACGTGCAAGGGTTTTCAGCAGATAAGCATATTACAAAAAAATAGAGGAGTCTATATACATCTTAAACAAACTTTAGGGAAGGGGAACACGTTAAGACAATCACAGTCGGTACAACATTTTTTTTGTCCGCAAAATATTATCCATCGGATGACTACTATTTGCGATTAAATCAAATCGACAATCGGGCTGATAAATAATATAAACTAGGTACCTGAAATTGTACGAAGGAGTCTATCAGCTCTAGCACGAATTAATCTTAATCTAATATTCTTTCCAGGAGAACTTCAAGAAATAAAACATAGGCTCGCAAATACACGAAAGGATATAGAAACAAAATGTAGGATAGAATTAGAAGAAGTTAGATCAAAATACAATGAAAAAGTGACAGACATGCTTGTGCACATAAAAAACTTAGACGCTGAATTAGTAGAGAAAGGGATGTTACTCAACAAAGCTTTAAGGTACAAAATGGTTGTCTGTAAAGTCAGTTTACGGACCATAATTTTACGTGATAACGTGTCGTTCGCTTTTTTCCTCGGGGCGATTTTGTGGGGCTCTTGTTATTCCGGTTCGTTTGAGCTAAAGCACGCCTGTGTAACTCTATGGGGGCTCGAGTAAGCCTCTACGGGGATGTGGTACTCTTCGAGGGGGATTAGGGGTGTCAAGGTGATCGGGTGTGGTCAGCAGGGTCATAGGGGGTCAGGAAGGTTAGGAGGCGTCAGTGTGGAGGGAGAAGGGAGGTTCGGAACAAACCCTCGACCTCACCTCACACACACCGCGGAACGTTGAACTAACTCGTGACTCGTAACATGACGTCACATAACGTGACATGACGTCACACTTTTTCCTGCGTGCAGCCGGTGTTCATCGATTTATAAGACGTTATCACGTCAAAAGGTAATAGTTAAAAAGATATGATTTACTTTGTAATTCAACTGCTTAAATATTAATTTGCAGGGAAAACAAAATTCTACTGACAACCAATGAGGAAAATTTGAAAAAGCAAACAGAGAACTTGCAAGCTGTGCCTCCGAAACTCGCTCTTGCTGAACAAAGAATAGAAGCTATGTTTCAGGAACTGGTAAGGATTACGGAAATTTTCATGAAAATCTATGCTTTCCCATAAAATAAAATCACTGTTTGTTAACAAATATCAAAATGGATGTGTTTTATTAAACAATCATTATAATAACGGCAGTACAGCCTACAGAATATCAGACACGGTTAACAAATCTACAATAATTTGAAACTTAAATCTCTTTTAGATAAAGTTCAAAATCTATTGATAATTGTTAAAATAATAGGAATTTGTGAAACCTGAAACTGCATCTAGAATAATAGGAATTTGTGAAACCTTAAGAACTCTAGGATATCCTTGAGAGATCAAGGTTTATTTTCTAATAATCAACAAATTATAATAAATACAGGTAACATCTGAAAGACGAAACATTCAGCTTTTGTGCGAGAAGCAATGTTTAGCTATCGACATACAACGCATTCAAGATGTGCATTTGAGAGAAATCAAACGTCGAAATTGGGAAGAGGATCTACTAAAGATTCAATGTGAAGAACTAAAGTGAGTGCCGTACCTTTAGCACGAACCTATATCGAATTCGTAACGTTTGCGAGTCCGAAATGTCATTGTCAAATGTGTACAGATTTTAGTTCTCGTTACGTACTTTGTGACTGACATTTCGCACTCGCAAACTATTCGAATTCAATAATGGTTCGCGCTAGGGGTACCGATTGCATAAATTGGACACTTACGCATTAAGGCATATGTATATGTAAGTGCTAGAATGCACTACGGCTAAACCGCCGCGGTTTTAAACCACGTAATTTCGTAAGTCAACGGAGCTAATGCAAGCGGCCGCACTAACGGGTTTTTCACGCGGTTTATTGATTTTATATTTATTTAATCATAAATACATCATTTTATCATATTTTAATACCTTGCCAACCTATAAACATCAGTGTGCCGGATAGCGACCACCGGTACTTGGTTTCGTATAGTCGCAGCTTAGCTACAGAGTTTGAGACTAAGATTTTGAATGTTTAAATAAAAGATGTTATACCTTTGAAAGTCTTATAGCGTGTAATATTGTATTCAAAAAATTGCAGTTACAAAATTCGAGGAAGAGGGGTTGGGGACAATATTTTGCGACCAATGGTAGCTTCGATTTAAATATCGCGTCACGTAGCACCACACGGATTGGTGATCAAGCGGAACCTTAACTTGGTGGTGGCATTTGCGTTCCGTCTTGCACAGAAATTCCAAACATCAGGTTTCTATCATTATTCGCCGAAAAGAGCCGTATACATGTAGTTTCCATGTAGATATGTATGGACGTACAATTTTTGAAATTTCATCGAAGTTGGCTATTAACATCCGATAGTAGTAGAAACGATTCTCAGGATATTTTGTGGTTGGACCCCATGTTTGCGAAATTTGTGACGATTTCTTTTTCCGTTTCTCTTTTGAAACATATCCTCAAATTCTGATTTAAATCATGTCAAGTTTCGCGGTATTTTATCACTGTGTGCGTTGCGGGCGGTTTATCGCTTGCGGGAAAAAACCGTAGTGCGGCCTAGGCCTTATTCAAAAGCAAATCATTGAAATGACGTTAATAAAACTTTAGCATAAGGTTGTAAATGGCCTGCAAGTACATGATATTCCGCACCTTGCATTTTAGAGAATCTAGTAAAGTTTTATTAACTTATTTTTAATTTATGATTTCATCTCTTTATTATATTTTTTTTAGACTACAAGTTGAACATCTTCAAAAATCATTGGATGAAACACACAATATGATTAGTAAATTGCAAATCATGCTGGCATCAAGAACGGAACTAAGTCAAAAGTATGTGTTAAGTTGTGGTGTGTATGTAATCAAGATATAAGTACATATGTTACACTGATTAATACTTTTCCAACTTGCAGAATGGTGAACACAAAAGAGCAGGAATTAGTAGAAATAAACAAACATTTAGAAAATCAAATGGTACTAAATAAAAAGTATGTAACACCAATTTCAGTGTTGTTTATTGGAACTAATAATTTGACTTACAATTTTATAAATATAACTATAATAATTATCATAATATTTTTTCAGATGGAAGGAATCTTATGTAGAGATGACAGAGAAATTAAAAAAGAGATTGTTAGATCTACAGGCCGAAAACAAGGATTTGAAAATTAAATTAAAACTACCTGATTTTGGTTCCACTGAAACGGAGGACAACAGCACTAGTTAACAATCACGATTGCGTTAACAAAAAATTAATCTTAAGAAAATGTGCAATATTAATAAAATATTATGAATTACAATAAATGAATATAAAACAACTTTGTCTATATAAATTTATTTATCTTTAAAAATTGTTTATCTTCTAAACATTAACAAATTGACTTAATAATTAATGGATAATATTTACAGTTTAGCAAATTAAATACAGAGCAATAAAATTTCATCATCAAAAGTAAACAAATAAAGTAATTGTAATATTTAGTATCACCTTCTTTGTTCGGAGTCTCAGCTCAAACTTCATAGATTATATCACAAAAAGTTATTACTGAACACTAAAATCTTTGTGTGTTAGGCTGAAACACAATCTGCAAACATGCTTGGGAACCATAACAGAGTCTCATTTGGATCTTGTGTGTCCACCCAGACTAGTCCCTCTCTTATCATATAACTTAGGGCACTTTGAGCTCTTGTTTGAGTCCAACTGAAATTAACACACCAATATTATTGACTATTATTTCATCTTTAATTTTGAATACTGACCAAAATATATTACTTTTGCTTCACAAAATAGAAAATATATTGGTCTTAATCCAAAGTAAGTTGATAAAAGTGTTTGTATTTAGAAAATCAGAGAGTTTGACAGTGGGATAATCCAATTAGGAACAAGGCAGGTGAATAATAATAAACATTTCTGATTCTGATTCCGAATGATGAAGACCATACTTAATGTTGAAACCACTATTGTATACAGGATTATCTATTTTTTGTAGTAAAAAAAGATATAGATTGGCTTTCAATTCTGCAGTACGAAATGGTCTAATAATTACCAAAGTAAATTTTTCCTACTGAACCTAAGAACTTTTAAGCATGTAGTAGCAAAATGCTTGAATAATTAAAAGAAACATACCCTAAATCATCCATGAGGATGCTGTTCGACACCCAAGCTGTGCCCAAGGAGCTGACCTTCTGTAGCACCAGTGTGTGATCCAGATTCAACTCTCCAGGCACAGACTGAACCAGCCATTTACCTTTACCCATCGGCACAACTGTAAACCTGAAAATATTAAGAAAAATGTCAAAGGATTTTCTAACAAATAAAACATAAGTGATCAATCTCAACATAAAAACTAATCTGTGATTATGAAATTGCAATCTGTTCGGTTTAAGTTAGGTAAATATTTGCCTTCTGCAAATAAGTATGTTCACTCACCCATTTCCAAATATTCGTAACTTCTTAACAGCAGCTAATAGATCTTCATTAGTTATTTCTTGATGTTTTTTGGCTTTCCCTCTCGCTGCCACTAACCTTGTGCGCAACTCTTCTAAAGTTATAAGTCCACCATTTTTGTAATTAGTAGCCAAACATACTTCTACTATTTGAACTCCTAATTCATAGTAAAAATCTCCAATACCTGAAAGGAAAGAACATATTCAGAAACTTACAGTTTAATGCACTGTTTTGCATACTGTTAGCAATGCATAAAAGGTTGCCTGCCACAAGGAATCGTATTTATTAGCAAAATTCGTTATTCTGGACATAATAAACAACAAGAAATACGTAAGTTACCAACCTAATACAGACCAAAACCCTTTTCCAGATGCCAAAGGATCTACACCAATAGCAGCACACATTTCTTGGAACTGTCGCCTGAACTGGGCATTTTTCTTGATCTCGTTTTTGTGCTTGGTCGCGAACTCTTCTAAGTTTTCTCTAAACACCTCGAGTTGTTTGGACATCTGCTGGAACTGGTTCTCCTGTATTTCTGAACCCTTTTCTCTGTATTTCACCTGTTCTAACTTTTGCTTTTGAATAGCACCTAGGCCTGCTCTGCGCCTCATTTTTGTGATTACTTGAAGAATTTAGAAATAATGGTCACCTAAAACTCAAGACAGTGGGAGTGAAACCAGCAATAGGAAAACCATGTTTTTCCAAAGGCAATAAAAAAACCCAGCCAATCCAAAACATTGAAATTAAAGGCGGCACTTCACTAATTCACTTGGCCATTCGTATAATTTAATTTGCCTTTTTGTCATGTTTGACAAATATTCAACTAGTGTGGTTAGTTTAATCGATAAACATTTGCTTTATTGACAAACGTCAACATATTTATTTGACAAAAACACAAGTAATCGTCATTTCGCTACTCTGTGGTAATTCGATCTTAGACGCTATATGTGGATGGTCGTATATTTGTAATACCGTTTCCGATTTTTTTTTGCCAAAAATTTGTACACAAAATCACAAAAGTGTACGTCACGCCCACATTCTAATGTAAAAAAAGGACAAAGAAATCTGAAGACTAGGCTGTATGAACATTGTCCCCTTTGCTTTCCTTAAAAAGGGAGAACGTTATTTTTTTTAAATATGATTGAATCTAATATCTGTGACTTGGTGACCAATTTTATTGTTGCTCTGAGGATTGAGTGGTCGATCACAGAGAAAATTATTCTAGAGCGTAGACAGAGAATAGACCTATTCTCTCTCTACGTTATAAAGGCATTATTAGCAAAGAGAACTTACTTGGTACTAAGCAATTTCGGCATGCGATAAGGAAAGTGCTTGCGCACACAGCCGTACTTCAAAAAAACCGTAGTCATTAGTATGAAGATTTGCGTTTTTTAAATTTAAATTATTATGAATTTTTTACTCGTATATTTATTTTAAGCCTTTAACTACTAGCTATGTTAAAATCTAAAGCTTTTCTTTTACTAGAAAATATATTCCACCACACACCCTCCGCTATAGTAGAACCGCCCGGATAGTGGAAGGTGCGGTTTGGAGTCCCATCTGCTGCCTAAACCGTGGATCTTTTTATAGTACACTATAGCTAATCCAGCGAACTTCGTACCGCCGCGCCATAAGAATAGGAGCAGGTGGTAGAAGCGAAAATTTAGGATTTTTTGTATTTTTTATTACATTATAAAAAAAAAATATTGTCCAAAAAAAATTTTAGGGTTGTGTAACGTAGTGTTCTATCAATTTCCTGGGATAACATTCCTCCTAACCCTTAAAGAGAAACACTACGTTACAATACCCAATAGATTGAATTTTGGCGCGAAGGCGCATTGTAGATTTCAGAACACTATGTTACAGGTGGACAACCATTACCACATAAAGATATGAAAAATAGATAGTAGCCCATTCTCAAACCCACGGAATATGCATATTAAATTTCATAAGAATCGGTCAGGCCGTTTCGGAGGAGTATGGTAACTAACATTATGACACGAGAATTTTATATATAAGATATTTGTTTTTATTTGGAAATGTACTATAATCTACTAACAATTTTTAATATTAATTTTTAAATAGAAGTGTCGTTAAACTAAAAGCAGTTTCAAAACTTAAAAAGTATCATCCCTGGTGGGGATCGAACCCACGACCTTTGGATTAGAAGTCCAACGCGCTATCCTCTGCGCCACAGGGACTTGTGAAGACCGTGTTGAAATAGATGTACAGCTTATATAGCACTCACTGAAATCAAACAATACAAATATTGTTATTATGGAATAGTTTTACAATAATATAATACTGTTTTTGTTGAATACAGTTTTTGTTGGGAATATTTTTAATGTTTTAACTGATTGAAACGAAGGACAATGTCGGCTCAAATTATAAAAAAATGCTAATTTGCTATGTAAGCGTTGCTAATAACAACCACTTGCATCAACAGAGTCAAGCCAACTGTCAAAAATGTTTGGGAAGTTTGAAATTCCAGTGAACAGGGAGAGAGTAATTTTAAATTTTAAAACGATGTAGAGTTTACTGTATTATATTAGATGCTTTAAAAGTTAAAAGTAATTTTATTTAGTTGAGAAAATACCTATCATGGAGAATGTTCCTATAGAAAACGTACCTTTATCAAATGAATTGAACGATTATAACGCCGACGTATCTGCAGCAAACTTTCAGAAATTTATTTACGAATTATTTGAGAAAAAAGGTGTTCTTAATAATCTTAGGGCAAATTTACGTGGGCACATAGTAGAAGTATTGAAAAGTGCACAAACCGGCAAGTACATAAATTATTTACCAAAGAAAGCTTTGTGTCTAAATTAATGTTTATTCACAACTGCGATTTCCTATCCAAAATCAAACAATGGACTTCAAATAAATTCGAAATAGTAATTTGTAGTAGAGACAGTTAACTGCACAAAGTATACTGAATAGTTGTTTTGTGTCTATTAAAATTTTAGCTTATCTAACATCCAAGTTACATTATAATTTTATCTGAATCCAAGTTAATATTTACCTATAAATTTGTTATTTAATTCTAGGTGAAGCACCTGCGTGTCACAAAAACTTTACTCAGCGGTTAGAACCCCTGTACCAAGCAATTAACATGCTGATAGCTGAATATCTTCTACGTATGGTGAGATACATTAAGTTAATGGTTGCAACGAAAACATTTAATTTATTTGTGAAAATACTTGTATAAGAAATGGTGCCAATGACCAATATCATAATACCTAAGTTATTTAATAATGGATATCACATTTCTTTTTCAGACTAAGTATAAATGTAAATGATTAAAAAAAACAAAAATAAAAGTTTCACCATTTAACTGGAAATTTTTACTTGTTCTAGGAGTTTGGTTACAGTCTTTCTGTATTTGTGTCCGAGATTCCCCTGGCAAACATGGTGTTTGAATTTGCTAGAAACCTTAAGGACAATCATGATATTGATAATCTTAAATTCAAAGAGATTGATGTTTGGTCTGTATTGAATTATTTAGGTATGTGTTAGTGCACAATAAAAATACTAAAAATAATGTTATTATGTTTATTATCATGTAAATAAATATATATTAGTATTTTAACATAACATCACATCATCATTTTTTAGGGTTCCATAAACCTATTACTAAAACTTCACTGTCCGTCTGTCTCTCTGTCCATCGGTCTGTCTGTCTATCAACAGGCTGTACATCATCATGAACCATGATAGCTAGACAGTTGAAATTTTCACAGATGTTGTATTTCTGCTACCGCTATGACAACCAATACTAAAAACAATAAAACAAATGATTAAGAGTGGCTTGAGATATTCACATAATTTCTATTAGTTGCATATTCACATTTAAAATAATTGAATTAAAATCAATAATAATATAAATAAAACAAGTTTTAACGGATTAATGCACAAAACTTTATTTATTTATTGATGTTTCGCAGCCTTTTCAGGTCTGCATCGTCAGTATTCACAGCCTTTTTAGGTTGTTTCACCTGAAAAGGCTGCCAAACATCAATAAATAGATAAAGTTTCGTGTATTAACCCGTTAAAACTAGTTTTATTTAATGACTGATGTGCATAAAAACCTAAGAATCAATAATAATATATTAATTTAAATCTCATACAGCAGATGTGATTTTTTTGCTGATTGCTCAATAATATAGTGTCTAAATATGTTCTATGGATAATGGTACAGAGCCCTTTTTGCGTGAATCTGACTAGCACTTGACTGGTTTTTAGATAATATCTCCATCTTGCAGTTTTAATATTATTATTTTATTTTTTAGGATTGAAGTGTGATTCTCAATGTGCATCTAATATTCTAAATATGTACAGTAAGGAGAATGTTCCGCTACTTTTGTGCATCTTGAATTCTTCATCTCTGATACATCATCGAGAATCATCTCTTGGCGAAGGTACTAAATAATTATTCCCGACTGATTATCCTAATTCCTTCTATCTTACTTATATTATAAATGTGAGAAGAATTGGTTCCCATACAAACTTCCGACCCCCTTTTAAGGATGATTTCTGGGGTAAAGACTATTCTGTGTCCTTCCTTACCTTCCCTATCTCTATACCAAATTTCATCTAAATCGGTTCAGCGGTTTAAGCGTGAAGAGGTAACAGAAAGAAAGACACACTTTCGCATTTATTCGCTAGGTCTCTCTATTGTATACATCAGTGCAAAGCCACACCGGTGTGAATGATAATATTTTCAATAATTTTGTATCATCATCATCAGTTGGAGCACAGTAAGCCAGACGAAGTAGCGCCTACCCACTAGTACCATATACCTAAATGACAGACTTTTTTTCTGTGCTCTTGTTGTTAGGGTGCTAAATAAACTAGCAGCAGCCTTGAGTATTAGGACGCCCATTCTAATATAATAAACAAGTAGCAAAGTTAAAACCAGATTTTCTCTGTAGGAAATAGAACTTCCTTTGAACAATCGAATGTGGGTAGTTGTCTATTTTTAAAAAGTAATATAGCATTTTTTATATTATAGGCAAAGAATCATCAGATAGCCGGTCTTCCAGTGTAAACAGTTTCGACAGTCTAAAGAGAAGCACACACGTAAAAACCGCGAGTAAAATAGCTTCATCCCATGAGCACTGCAGACATTTGGCGTTCTGTAAGACATGTCAAGGGAAAATGAGTAGAATGAAAGACAGATATAAGAGATCGAAGAGGACACGTTTAATCGAGGTGGGTAATACAGCGTCTGCGGTAACTCGAAAGGCTTTGAAAATCTTATTTTGGAGTTTCGAGAGGTCTGTCGAAAGTGTTAGAAAAAGTTGTTTTTACTCAAATGGCAGATTATGTATGTAAAAAATCCATTTTACCAGAAAAACAGTCAGGTTTCCATCCAGGTAGAAGTACAGCAACCGCTCTTTTAGATGTTTTAGACAATATTATTACCGTCAGGATGCGGGAATGGGAGCTATTCTGGTCTTTCTTGATTATTCACTGGCTTTCGATACTTTGTATATACTAATGGATTTGATAATAATGCAGTTGATTGGTTCTCAAGTTACTACTTTTTTTTTCATGTAAGCAGCACATACCTACTTACCAATTTTTTTTTCTATTCTATTCTAGTAAAGTTCCTACAAAAAGAGACTACTTCCCCAGCAGGTATTAATTCGCGTCGTCGCGAGAAATTATTTCTTCGCCTTGTTAGCCTTTTTAGTGGGAAATTAAGAGAAGATAGGAAGATACCAAGGACCAGGATTCAAAATCTTATCACCTAATACACCAAATCAAAGATTCTGATAAAAGAATTTCGTTTCAGACTAATAAATCGTGGAATAGAAATCCTGAAAGTGTTGAAATGCTTATGCGGAATGTCGGGGAGATGGAACAGAGCCTTGTAGACGAGGTGCTTAGTATTGTAGACCCATTTTATGCTCATTTCATCTCACCTTTTAAAGATTTCATTCTGACGCCTATCAGTGAAATGAAGGCTGATTTACGCCGGGGCAACAATGTGCGGCATTGCGCCATGCCATTCCAATAATTAAATATTTTCAGCGCAATCCTTCGAAAATGATCTAGGTATGATGTTGCATCTGCCTTATAAGAATGCAGAATTTTGCAAATGAAACAGAATTGTTCTTTTTGCAGCGTACCACCACGTATGAGGCACTGTCGCATGTTGTTGCCTCGGCGTAAATCAGCCTTAGTGAAATCAGGACTCGAACCTAGGAACTTTCGAGTACAAGACGGGCGTCAGGAAGATGTCTGGCCAATTCTCTTTATAGCTTTTCAATTCTATCGAACTCCCAGATTAAAATAGAATACAATTTTACATAACATTAATGTATGAAAGTTTAACTATGGGCTTCTGCTATGGAGCAAGCATGAAAACAAAACAAATGAAGGAGATCGTATAAAAAGAAGTTGTGGTTCGTAATGAAAACAGTATTAACTAGCAAACCAGTGAACCAAATGTTCACCAAAAAAAATGTATTTAATTAATTGAGAACTTGGGAGATTTTGTGTGGTTTCGTTTGAAATAGAAATCACGTGATTTCTCGAAAACCGGAAGTGCTACGTTACTTACATCCGGTTTGTAGTCTTATCAGACTATTCTTAACCTATAACTTAAACATTCTCTATATCTATCTCTTACGGTTTGGCCGCTGAAACAGCACCACGGACGGACGGACGGACTTGTCTAATAGATAAGAGATGATGACAGACTTAATGATGATCTTATCAAAGTAAGGAAGGTGTAAATTAGATGAAGGGCAAAAAATAATGTGTCAGGATCATTGTGAGTGAATAGACATGATCTTTTTACTTTTGGGGGTGATGAAAACTCTAGTGGTACTGTAAAAACTGTAGCTCACGACTTCAAGTTCGTGAGAAATTGGTTTCCCATATCTGGAACAAAAACTATCCTCTGTCCTTTCCCGGAATAAGGGGCCTGCGATGCGTAAAGCTGGTGCACGGAGCGGGCGTCCGCTCTGTGCATTTGTTTCATGTTATTTCATAGTGCAGCTCTGCGTGAGGCAGGTCTCCTGTCGCAGCGCTGCTCTATGAAATGACACGAAGCTGCTCCCGCTTAACGCAGCGCAGACACGAAAGCGGTTCAGTGGTTTGAGCGTCAACATATACCAGACAAACAGACACACTTCAGCATTTTATTATTAAAATAGGTAAATGTTTTAATAGCACTTTATTTGAAGATGTTTCAGCAACTAAAAGGTGTTTATGAGGCCGAAGTGGACATGATAAGGCAGAATGAGGAGAAGACTGTCAATCGCTCGCTAGCATCTCACGCCCTCCAGCTACACAAGCAGAGAGAAGAAGTGAGATACTATACTATTTGTTTGTTATTATTTCAGATTTATGGGACGATGCAGTCCTAATGGAAATGTAGTCACAACAGATCTATTGTGACTCGCCACCAAGTTCCTAGAAGCTCAGAACGTTTCTGGATTTGTTTGTTTGTTACTCACTCACTCAAGGGAGAACTTTGGAAAAGGATATAAATATAGCTTATATTTTATATATTGTAGCGAAAATAAAACTTGAATATAAGAATATATTGGGCATGAAAACAAATTTATCCACACGCGAATGCATTGACTACCTAGTCATCTATATTTTACACGACTTTTACATTTACGATTCTCAAATCACACTTAATAATAGCGTACAATTTCGAGATCTAACCATTGTGATATATTGGTAACTCTTAGCAATTCTTCTGTATTAAAATTTTGGATTTCTTCTGTTTTGGTAACGCCATATGTTGAGTACTACTTTACCGATTTTAGCTAAATTTTGAAAAACAAATTCTGTACTTCTATTCTTTTTTTGATGTTTTTTTTTTGTTATCAGTATACCTTAGTTAGGGTCATCTTGAGTATCTTTATATATATAATTCTTCTGTGAGTTTGTATGTCACTGAACTTCTCTTAAACGACTGGACCGATTTTGATGAAATTTTTTGTGTGTGTTCAAGGGGATCTGAGAATGGTTTAGATTTTGTCCGCTGGACAACCCCTATTTTTTTAAGGGCGGTACGAAGTTCGCTGGGTCAGCTAGTGTTATTATAAAATTATTATGATTGGAAATGGATATCATTATATTTTTTTTTCTTTATTAACTAACTACTGTCTGTGTAAACCCGTGAAGATGGAGCAATCGTTCAAAGCTCGCGAGGCAGAATTGGAACGCAGTGTACAAGAGAAGAAACAGTTTCTATGGGGGTTAGCGCGAGCCCTACGCGATCAGCATGCCAACATGATGCGCGCTATGAAAGCCCTGAAGGGTGAAACCGACCGACTCACCGAAAAGGTTAGAACCATGCTAGCATGAAGATAGTCATCTACTTTGTGTAGATATCACATTAGGTTAATCTTCAGGTTCCATTTGGCACCCAATCTTCGATGATTTGACTCCAAGTTTGTACAAATGTTCCCCGGGCTGCTTGGGCGATTAAAGCTCTGGGGCCGCGGGTCACTGTATGTTAGTCGGATTCTCGATTCAGAAAGATCTATGTGAGCCTCGGAATTCCGTTAGCGCGATCTAGGTTGCATAACCAGCACAGAGCTTAAGAGAGACACCGACCGACTCACCGAAAAGGTCTGGACCGTATCAACACCGAGAGGAATCTACACACAAATAACATATATATCCTTTACATTGACGACATCCCCATATTAGACAATGCTTTAGGTCGAATTTGATTCCCAATCTTCAATAAATTTAAACCAAGTCATAATATACACCAAGCATTTCACTAGCATTACTTATATCCCTCTTTTTCTTAAGTAACAATGGCTGTCTATGCCAAGTTCTATCCACCGACAAGGCTTTTACTACGCCTTTATCTAACTATATCTATTAATTATTCAGGAAGACAGCTTAAAGGCACAACTTCTGGAAGCAGAAGAAATGCTCAAGAAACGGGGGGAGGAAATGCGGAAGCAGATAACGGATGAACTTCAAATACTTGAGGGTCACTTAGAATCGATGAAGAAAGAGCGAGACAGCATAGAGAGAGAACGAAAGGAACTGGAACGATTCCAAAGCGCTTGTAACACGAACAATCAAGTTGTCCAGGACTTGGCGAATGAAGAAATACGTTCGCACTACGATTTGCTCAAAAACGAATTGGGGATATTGAAGAAATACTTGGAGGCGACCAAACTCGAGCCGAAGTGTGTGATAGAGAGAAGCACTCTTACTGAAATGAGTAATATCACGTCGAAACTCAATTTGGTTTTGAACAACGAGCAGCATCTTGATAAGAGTCCATTAAAGACTGACAGCGAGGAAAGGATGAGGACACCGAATAAAGTCGTCAATGACCTGAAGAAGCAAAAGAATGTGAATTTCAGTACGGTAAGTCATTATTTTACCTATTTTAGGTTTTTTTTTGTATGTATGCTGTTGGTCGCAGGTGACCTTTACAGCGTCACCGAGTTTGGGGACGGCGAGATCCTAAGGAGACTTCATAACCACAAGGTCAAATGAATACCTTTACAAGTATTAAACATTTAAAAGAAACAATAGCAATTATAGTATAATTTTTATTTTTTAAGCAATGAACTGCTATATGTTTATCTTTCGCTTTGTAGGTAACCCACAATGTCAAATGAATACCTTTACAAGTATTTAACATTTAAAAGAAGAAATAGCAATTAAAGTATATTTTTTATTTTTTTAAGTACTTAACTGCTATATGTTTATCTTAAGAAAAAAATATCTCTTAAACATTTTCTTAATTTTTTTGTATCGGTCTAAGAAATATTTTTCTAGCAAAAATTTTCTTTACCTTTACCCTGTCAGTCTGAACTTAGCTTCGCAGTCAAAAATCCGCTGTGGCCTTGTTGCTCATACCTTAGTTTTATTGACTTTCATAAGTTTTCTTTGAATAAACTACACAAAAGGCAATTACTATGTTGTAGCCTGTCCAGTATTACTTTGAGCCTCGATTACACGGTGCTTGTTTACAAGGTAAAAGCACGGTAATATTACCGTGGTAAAAGCCAGCGAGTTCGCTAATAGCAGCTTGTTAAATTGCCCCTTGTCATCAAAGTTTTAGGAAAATGATACTCAAAAAATAATAAATGATCACCCAAAATACCTTTAAAGTATTAAAAATTTACTTAACTAAAGGTTTGTTTATCAAAATTGTATTTGAGCATCAATTTTACTACCTATTTATCGTCTATGACGATTGTTTAAATATGTGCCTTTTACTTAAGAGGGGAGGCGCGCTATGTTTTTTTCATATAAACGTTCATCCTGGATTTTTATCACTAAAGAATTGATTTTCATACATAAAATATAATTTTACTCATTCTATGCTCCTAGGTCTTCCTATTTTCGATAACTTGTGTTTCAAAGAAACTAAGAAGTCTTCGAAAAAGGCCAAAACATAATATTTTTTTTATCACCAATAAAGACGTCTAGTGTGGAGATTTAATAAGCATTTACAAAAAAAATCAAAACATAGATGCATAGTATAGATAACTACTAATTATTCTTTGTGTAAAATTTCTTTAACATAATATCTATTGAAGTATTTATCGAGGTGGCAATCGTCGAGAGCCAAACCTCCAATTTTGCAATTTTTGAACGCAATTTTCAGCGTTGACTGTTGTCCCTATCACAGGGTATTTGCCAATGCCCGACTACAATAGCTTTTTCAAGTACCTATTTCTTAAATGTCTCTTAGCTCGCGTCCAACAGTTACATAGAAAACGCCCAATCCATACTCTGTCTATATTTGCCTCTCTTGAGTTTGTTTCGCCGGTTCTTCTCAGAAAGGTCTCCCAATTTTGGAACCGGTGGTAGTTTACGGTAGTTAGGATCAAATAAATAAACTCAAAATTACAAAAAAGATTTTTAAATAAAGTACTTTATTAACTAAATTAACTAATAAATTCATACATAGACAATAAATTTTTAAAAATCTAACAATGAAATAACCGAACGCTCATTAAAAGTCCTTCGAAGGTAGCTCGACAAAATTAAATAAAAAATCATTATTCTGACGAAGCAGAACTGAAAAGGCTGCGAAACGTCAATAAATAAATAAAGTTTCGTGCTTTAACCCGTAAAAACTAGTTTTATCTGTCTATATTTTTAGTGTAATACAGAAGAGGTATACCGTGATAGTCGCAGTCGTCTATCTGTATCAAGCGAGGCAGCAGAGATCTCTCGTGATCGCGACCAAGACCTCATCGAGCGACTGCAGGAAGAGAACGAACGACTCCGGACTTTTGCTAGCCAGGTGAGTTTTGTGATAAAATGTTGACGTATCGTTGCTGGTACTTAAGTAAACTCTTCTATTTTGGGCTCCAGCCAACGATATTAATTACCCTAGATACACCACGTGCGCTCAAAATGTGTCCCAATCAAGAAGTGCTTGAACACCACTCAAGCACTTTTTGGTTCACAGTCACGCGCGGACCGTTGAAAAGTCAAATTGCCGCAGAGCTCCGTGAAAAATGCGATAAAAACACATAGAATAAGGAAAGTGTCCTTTTTCCACAGGTATCTAATCAAATGTTTGTTAATTTAATACATTTAAAGCCAATTTTGTTCTAATACTTACTATAAACTGATTTAATAGAAACTATTTGTGATATTCAAATGCATGGTCGATAATATAGCCGTCTCTATTCTGTACCTGCTATTTTGCTAACAACGCATTAAGAATTGCGCGTATAGATAAAGAAATAAGGTCTATATTGTTCTGCATATAGCAATAAGTCGTAAAATTTTATAAGCAATAAATAAATAAATATAAATTTTGAACTTTCGTAACGTACAATTCGAAGAGATGGCGTTGCCTTACAGCTTAAGAAATACTAGAGAAAATTTGACACGACCATCAGGGCCGTGGTAGGGAAATGGTCAGTGCATTCGCCTGGATAACGATGGGTGCGGGTTCGAGTCCCGCGTGGTTTTTTTCTAGTAAAATTTTCTTTGGTAGTATGGCTTGTAAAGTGCAAGCCTATTTTAAAAATGATAAAATTAATAGATCTTAACATACCATTTGATTTATCTGACTTATCAGGACTTTTTTTTTATTTCGCACGTACTGGCTTTTTTAAGCGTAGTTTAAAAAAAATATAAAAATACATAAGAAATGTCAGATATTTTTTTATTTCTGACCGGTTACACCCACTTGCAGCAACGCGAGCACATCGACGACCTATCGAGCGAAGGCGCGCGGCTGCGGGCGCAGCTCGTAGCCGTGCGGTTTCCGGCCGGCACCCGCCCCCGCACCGCGCCCGCGCTGCTACCGCAACCTGCCATACGCAGGTAAACGCTACGTATGCCAACGCTACCTCTCGAAGCCGCGCGATTCCCGGCCGGCACCCGCCCCCGCGTCGCGCCCGTGCTGCTACCGCAACCTACCATACGCAGGTATGTACACAACGCTACCTCTCGTAGCCGCGCGGTTCGCGGCCGGCATCCGCCCCCGCGCTGCTACTGCAACCTGCCATACGCAGGTATGTACACAACGCTACCTCTCGTAGCCGCGCGGTTCCCAGCCGGCACCCGCCCCCGCACCGCGCCCGCACTGCTACCGCAATACTACCTTTAGGGGGTGTGGTCCCTGGCCTATACTTTATCATATATATAAATATCTCAATATAAATTTAAATTTCTTTATCTTCATCTAATATTAAAGCAATCTAAATAGCTAGCTAAATGTGACCTTGAATATCGAGGCATTTTTACGTGAAACTGATGCGAACTTACTGCACGGTACTGACACGTATGAATAGCACGTTACGTAACTGTACGATATGGAACTGTCGGTCACGTGTCGGCACTGTTGTGTGCGGATCGGCCTTAAAGGTTACGCACGGCGCCATGTATGGGAGCGTGCAGTAAAACGATTTTACCGCACGCTCCATTGTATGGCCCGGAATTTTGAACTTTCGAACAATGTATACAACCTCCGTAAAGACGAAATTTTGAGGAAATGTGTCGATTTTTTTTATCTCTGTATCCATAGTTTGAATGCTAGCGTGAGTTGCAACTCGGTCGGATGGCGAAAGGGCGCGGGGGAGGAAATGAGTGTGTACACAAACACCCAGCCACGAATCCTGCTGCCGGGAGACGCGGTGCCATTCATCGGGGCTTTGAGAGACCGTTCCGCAGACGACAGGAGGTAACATAATCAAAAATAATGAAAAAAGGCAATTTTAAAAATTCTAAATATACCTACATACTTATTTTATTTATTTTTTCAGCATTTAACTGCTAGATGTTTAAATCTAAAAAAAATTTTAACATTAGGGCCGCGGTAGCATGATGGTCATGTGCATGTGCCCGGATAGCGAAGGGTGCGGGTTCGAGTCCCGTCTGCTGCTTGGTCCGCGTGGATTTTGTTCTAGTAAAATTTTATTTATACCTACATAATCAAAATAAGCCGTGTAGTGCCGGCCTAGAATAGAATAGCACTACCCCCTCTCATCCCGTGGGTGTCGTAAGAGGCGACTAAGGGAAACTTCACTTCACCTAAGGAGATGGGCAGCAGCATCTCCTTATGCGAACCGGTATACTGCGATCGCCAACCCGCCTGCCAAGCGTGGCGATTATGGCAACCCCCCCCCCCCCCCCCATATGCGAAACAATACGAAACGGCCCCTAGTCCCCGGCGGGACCGCTATTCCTGGCTACGGTAGCGGCCACGGTAACGGCGGGGCAGGGGGTGCGAAGAATCCCCGGGTAGGACACGGCTACCACAACAACAGAATACTGGCCCTGGCAACCTACAACACGCGCACACTGAGGACCGATGCCAAGATGACAGAGCTGGAAGAAGCTATCAGCAAGTTACACTGGGACGTCATCGGGTTATCTGAAGTCCGAAGAGAGGGAGAGGACACGATAACTCTGGACTCCGGTAACTTGCTGTACTTCCGGGAGGGCGACCAACAGTCCGTAGGTGGTGTCGGGTTTATCGTCCACAAGTCCCTCGTCAACAACGTGCTGACCATCGGTAGTGTTTCGAGTAGAGTAGCGTACTTGGTACTCAGAATATCATCACGATATTCGATGACTGTCATCCAAGTCTACGCTCCAACATCGAAACACACCGATAACGAAGTGGAGGCTATGTATGAGGAGATCTCTCGGGCCATGCATAGCCACAAAACCCACTGCACGATTGTGATGGGGGATTTCAATGCAAAGTTGGGGAAACGTTGCGGCGACGAGCTGAGAGTGGGGCAATTTGGAGTTGGGGAACGGAACGACAGGGGCCAAATGCTGGCGGACTTTATAGAGAGGGAGAACCTCTATATGATGAATTCCTTCTTCAGAAAGCCCGTCACCCGCAAATGGACCTGGATAAGTCCCGACGGCAAGGTCAAAAATGAGATTGATTTTATCATGTCGACGAAGAAGCAAATATTCTATGATGTCTCAGTGATCAATGCTGTTAAGACAGGAAGCGATCACCGCATGGTAAGAGGCACATTGAATATCAACGTCAAGCTTGAAAGATCGCGACTGATAAAATCAACGCTCCGACGTGTGCCAGCCCAAATTGAAAACCCAGAGCGCTTTCAGCTCGAGCTCCAGAACCGCTTCGAGTACTTTGAGAACAGCATAGACGTGGACGATCTGAACGACCTGGTGGTGGATACTGTCCGTACGGTAGTGTCTAAACACTTTAAAACCCGCCGTACCAAGTTAAAGAAACTCTCCGCATACACACTCGAACTCATGGATAAGAGACATGAAATGAGACTACAGGACTCAGCGGATGCATTGCGTTATGACAGACAGCTTAATAGACAGATTTCGAAGTCGTTGACGAGCGACCTTCGCCACTTTAATACCGAGCGTATTAAAGAGGCCATAGAGCGGAACAAAGGCTCCAAAGTGTTCGCTAGAGATCTGTCTATTGGGCAAAGTCAACTGACGAGGCTGAAAACTGAGGACGGTAGTATCATTTCATCGACTCCTGAAATCCTGAGGGAGATTGAGAGTTTCTATAGGCAGTTATATTCCAGCAGAACACCAGGCGAAAGCAGAGCTCGAGATCCTAGAGCCAAGCTTACCCGACATTATACCGAGGATATCCCGGACGTCAGCTTGTACGAGATAAGAATTGCCCTCAAACAGCTTAAAAACAACAAGGCGGCGGGAGATGACGGAATCACAACAGAGCTTCTAAGAGCGGGCGGTACGCCGGTACTTAAAGTCCTCCAGAAGCTCTTCAACTCCGTCATCCACCAGGGCAAAAGGCCGAAGGCATGGAGCAGAAGCGAGGCGATTTTGTTCTTCAAAAAGGGTGATAAGACCCTACTGAAGAACTACAGACCCATCTCGCTTCTGAGCCATATTTACAAGCTGTTTTCGAGGGTCATTACGAATCGTCTCGCTCGCAGGCTCGACGACTTCCAGCCTCCCGAACAAGCCGGTTTCCGAAAAGGCTTTAGTACCATACACCACATCCATACGCTGCGGCAGATTATACAGAAGACCGAAGAGTATAATCGGCCACTTTGCTTAGCGTTTGTGGACTATGAGAAGGCCTTCGATTCGATCGAGACCTGGGCGGTGCTGCAGTCTCTCCAGAGGTGCCAAGTGGACTACAGGTATATCGAAGTGTTAAAGTACCTATACCAAAACGCCACTATGTCGGTCCGAGTACAGAATCAGAGCTCTAATCCTATCCAACTACAGCGAGGGGTGAGACAGGGAGACGTTATATCTCCGAAACTGTTCACTGCTGCGACGGAGGATATTTTTAAGCTTCTGGACTGGAAAGGACTCGGCATTAACATCAACGGCGAGTACCTGACACACCTTCGATTTGCCGATGACGTAGTCCTAATGGCGGAGACCTTGGAAGACCTGAACACCATGCTTGAGCATCTCAGTGACGCATCCCAGCGAGTGGGTCTTAAGATGAACATGGACAAGACTAAAATCATGTCCAACGCCCATGTTGCACCCGCTCCAGTTAATGTTGGGAACGTTACACTTGAAGTTATTGACCACTACGTTTACCTAGGACACACAATCCAGTTAGGTAAGTCCAACTTCGAGAAAGAGATCTCTCGTCGAATCCAACTCGGATTCAGCAGCGTTCGGGAAGCTGCGGAACATCTTCGCGTCCAATATACCTCAATGCCTTAAGACGAAAGTCTTTAACCAGTGTGTGTTGCCAGTGATGACCTATGGCAGTGAGGCGTGGTCGTTTACTATGTGTCTCATAGGACGGCTCAAGGTCGCCCAGCGGGCAATGGAGAGAGCTATGCTTGGTTTTTCCCTGCGTGATCGAGTCAGAAATGACGAGATCCGTAGGAGAACTAAAGTCACCGACATAGCTCGAAGAATAGCCCAGCTGAAGTGGCAGTGGGCGGGACACATAGCGAGGAGAACCGATGGCCGTTGGGGCGGAAAGGTTCTCGAATGGCGACCGCGTGCCGGACGACGCTCAGGTGGACCGACGATCTGGTGAAGGTCGCGGGAAAACGCTGGATGCGGGCAGCGCAGGACCGATCGTTGTGGAGATCCTTGGGGGAGGCCTATGTCCAGCAGTGGGCGTCATACGGCTGATATGATGATGATGAAACAAAATATGAAAATTACTTTAAATAAAAAACTAAAAAGAAGCAGTACTAGTCTTAAATATGTTAAATAAGGAACAGAGCTAATTTAACGTGCCTTTCGAAGCACGGTGGAGCTTGAGATAATAAGTTTTGGTCACCCATCCAATGATCGGGCAATGCAAAAGTTTCCTATATAAGTTCCACGATCGCCAGTTTCACGGTGTCAGACACCAGAGGTGCCGGGTTCGAATCCCGGTGGGTTAAATGTTTGTATGATGAATATGAACATTTGTACCTTAAGTCTTAGCTGTTACTTTATATACTGTTCATTACGCTTCTTTTTGGCCATTTTCTACTACATATTCGTCTTATACGTTTTTTTTATTTGAGACTAGCGGACTACCTTAATACATCAGCTACCTGCCAATAAAAGTCCCGCCAAAATTGGTCCAGCCGTTACAGAGATTAGCCGGAACAAACAGACAGACAGGAAAAAATTGGTATATGTACTTTATATATATTCATATGCATTTAGTTAAAAGCGGTTATTTCAATATTACAAACGGACACCAATTTTATTTATATATCTAGATAGATAGCTCCGACAAATGACTCCACCCCACCTGATGTTCAGTGAAGGTGAAGTCCAGACGCGACGATAGCTGATACAGCAGCCATCCTGACCCTGCCGGCCTGCATATTGCTGCTTCACGCCTCTTTTAAAGGATCCCAGGTTGTAAGAGGGAGGGAACACGTGAGCGGGCAGAGCATTACGGATTTTGTTCTCGATTTTGGGCTTGTACTTTCCATTTCACTCTAGCTGTTCTTTTAATGTCGTCGTGCCAAAGCAAATTTGGCGTATATTCCCCAGTCGCCCCTGCGGCGATTACCAACGGGGGCAAATGGGAATACAAAATACTGAAGTGATGAAGATATATCCCCATATATCTTCATTCTCTGGAATAAATGTTATTTTGTCTTCTTTGGAGGAGCTCGATGGTGCAAGTGGTTAGCGCGTTCGACTGCGATCGTTGAAGTAAAGCAACTTTCGCAATGGTCGGTCATTGGATGGATGACCAAAAATTTGGCACGTTAAGCTTTTGGTCCCGGCTGCATCTGCAGTCATTAGCGCCCACCAATCTGCACTGGGCCCGCGTGGTGGGACATGGCGCAAACTGCCTATTCCATCCATAGGGAAGGCCTGTGCCCCAGCAGTGGGGAAATTCATAGGCTGATGACGATGTCTTCCTTGGGGTCGTTTCTCATCCCACGTACTCCATTCTATGAGTGCTTCACATCACGAATCTCGCCTCCTAGCAAAATGGCCAGCCCACTGCCACTTGAGTTTTGTGATTCGCTTGATAACTTGTTTTTTTATCTCATTTTGCGTACAGACACTTAATAAACCAATGGCGGTCTCTGAGGAGAGCTGGTAGCAAACCACACCCTTACTCAGCAGCCAGGGAGACCAGCCTGATAGCTTGCGGTGAGAATGTTCAGCCAAACCAGTTTTTTTTATATATATAGCCAGGTAGGCAAATGACTCTACCCCACCTGATGGTAAGTGGTGGTAAAGTCCAAACTCGAAGATAGCTGGTACAGCAGTTATAAACTGCCACACCAACCATCCTCACTTTGCCGGCCTGCAAAAATGCTTCTTCACGCCTCTCTTAAAGAACCCCAGATTGTAGGAAGGAGGGAACACGCGCGCGGGCAAAGAATTCCACTTACGAATAGTACGACAAAGAAATGAGTCACCAAATTTCAATTACACTCTTATCTAAATCAAATGAAATAGTCTTTATTAAGAATAGATTCAATTTTTTTAATATAATTTGTCATCTCATTGTATTGGATGTATTTTTTTAATCTTAGTCAGTAGGCCTTTTTCATAGACAGTTAAGCAACATTTGTAGTTTCTCATGCGCATGCGCAACCTATAATTATAATTACATGAAGCTTAACCACTTAACCATTACCTGCTTGATTGTTGTGTCAATGTTTATTATGTTGGTTATGAAATAAATAAAGAATATTGTCAAGATGTCGCCTACTCAGAGGTCCCTGGGTTCGAATCCCGGTGGGGCAATTAAATTCCAAAAGCATCATCTTTATGTTTGATTACGGCAAATTAATAAAATGTTAAATATTTATTAAAAATATTTTAAGTTGTTATCATTATATTTCATACCTGCTTGCTTTTTATAAAACAAGATTCTTAAAGTCAAACTTACGTAAGGTGTTATGTTTTTTTTTTAATTTACCAGAGAATCCTTTTTTTAAATAAAACTTGTTTTAACGGTTTAATGCACGAACTTTACAAGTAATGCACAACTTTACTTTAAAGTTCGTGCATTAACCCGTTAAAAGTAGTTTTATTTTATGAGTGATGTGCGTGAAAACCTAAGACACAAATAATCCTTTTTTATCACATTTCTTAGGTATATCGCGCACTGCAAAAATAAATCGTTTGCTATTTAAAATAGTAGATGCGAAATCGTTAGTATATTTTGTACCCTATGAAGCAGTACTGGCTTCGCGCATTGCGGAAAAAATTGCAAGCGCAGCGGGCAGTCGTCGTGGGATTTTTGACGATGTTTAGTTATCTTCTTCTTCTTATTCAAAACTTTTACGTTAAATTAAGTAAGTATTAGGTAGGTATAAAATGATTATTTTCTTTTGTAAATCCGTATTTCGATCTCACAGTGGCTGTCTTTGACTGTATATGTGCGTGCTCTCCCAGAGGCCACAGAGGAAAACGTATGTTTCGTATACATAAAGATTTATCAGGACCTTTAACAAATTGTAGTCGGAAGGATAAATTTGTAATTGTTGTCAGTCAGTGCTACGACTCACCGTATGTGGGCTCAGATGAAACGCCACAAAGGACATTGCTCGTTCCCCATACATTGAATGCCCTAGAACGCCCAGCAATGAGAAAATGCTAGTTATGTTCGGAATCATTCATAAACTCTATATAGGCATTTGTTGAGATACGGACAACTTGAGGAACCGTGGCCTACTACAGAATGTAGTTGATTTTGAGGTTATAATTATTATACTTAATCGTAAAAGATGTACACTTTATATATTCTGAATAGATTTAGTGTTTACCTCTATGCAAGCACTTAAATAATATACATTAAATGAACATAAAATGCAATTAATAATAAAAATATTAAATGCTTATATTCATATTGATTAATGAGTGTTGTCAGTTGGCACCTACGATACCTATACCTTACCTGTAGTAATAATAGATTTCTTTTCAAATGAAATGTTCAGTCTTTCCATTTACCTGTTTCTATATTTTACTATCGGTAATTAGGTATGTACCTGGTTATCATTATGATTTTCATAAAAATAAACAGATATTATATGGGATGGGAGTATAAACTATCTTTACATAATTTCAGAAATAATCTTTTTATAAATATAATACTAGTAATAAGTATTATTAACTAAGGTATCTCTATTTTTCTTTTGATGAATACCTATGGTCGCCTCTAATGCATTTATTAAGGTAAACAATCTTGGCACAACTTTTTAACAGAATCACCCATTTAATAATAAAATATTAACGAAGCCAATAAACTATTAAAATAAATCGTTATTATAGACTGAAACCTTTTGAATCCAGTTATCAGTTGATTTTTAATGCTGTTTTTTCAATAAACAGGAGTGCCAAGTTGGATGAATAGACTGTAGTATCTAGTAACAGAACTTTATTTTTTAATTTTTTAAACAGATTGTCCGTTTACTATGATTAATTGCTAATATGTTAAAAAAATAATAGAAAGATAATAGTGAAGGACATTCTTTTGGGCATGCTAGGGCCGATTTCGTCGATGTCCTTTCATAACCTCCAGACACCCAAGCATTTACTAAAATCTCTTGCCACTATGTTCGAATGTACTTTACAAAGCATTAAACAGTTTTTGTTTCAAAAACCGAATCCTTTCCTGTTGAATGAAACATAAACTAAGGTTTTTTCAGAGGTTTCACTACAAGAAATGTTTTTTTAATATTATTTGATAAAGACATTGATCATAAGAAGTTATTATTATCAATTAAGTAGTAAAACAAATCATTACAAAAAATCTGATTTTTTGTAAGTGCCTAACATATTAATAACAAACACTCGGGAATTGATGCTATCTGAAGGTCGGTCGTCCGTTGCGTATGCGAAATAAAAAGTTTAAAAATATTAGGCCTTTAGAGTACGGTTTCTTTAGCACTTTGTACAGGACGCCAGGTGTCAAGAGGATATTACCTAAATCGCAGTGCGCGTAGGAATTATTATTAAAAAAAGTCGCAACGAATAAACTTCATAGTGAGCGCATATCCTTAGGTAAAATATGTAATTACATTCACTATAAATACAGCCGGTCCAGTAAGAACGGGCTCCAGTAATCGCGCTCCTTTGGAAAACGAAGAGGCAGCACAGTCAAGCATACCAACCTTGAAGAACTTGGAATACCAGCCGCAAACCACACGGTGAGACAGTTTTAGGGTTCCGTACACATTCATCATCATTACCAGACTATTAATGCCCCCACTACTGGCGCACAAACCTTCCTTATGGATGGAATAGGGAGATTGGGCCATGACGCACCACGCGGGCCCAGTGCGGATTGGTGGGTGCTAAAAACTGCAAAAGCAGCCGGGACTAACGGCTTGGCGTGCCTAACAAAGCACGGAGGAGCTCGAGATAGTAAATTTTTGGTCACCCATCCAATGACCGACCACTGCGAAAGTTGCTTAACTTCAACGATCGCAGCCGAACATTAGGGCGAATCATTATCACCAATTCACCAGTTTATTAATGTTGCCACTGAAGGGGCACGCTCCTTATTCCATCCATCCATAGAGAAGGCTTGTAGCCCAGAAGTGAGGATATTAAAAGACTGAAAATGATGAGTGTGTGCTTGCGACTTCGTCTGTTTGGAAAATTTGTTTTCCATACAACCTTTCATACCCTTAAAACATGATTTCTAGGATAAAAACTACTATGTCCTCAAGGTAACCGAGCCATCTTCTCTATTTTCAAACTATCTCATACCAAATTTCATATGAATAGGTTCAGTCGTTTAAGCGTGAGGAGGTAACAGGCAGACAGACACACTTTCCCATTTATAATATTAGTATGGTTACTAGTATTGTTGACGATGGATCCGGCTCGAAGGACCAATTGATGTCGGTGATAATGATGATGAACCTCAGTCCTCGGATCCCTAGTGTAGGGATATATAAGTTGGAGAGACGTTGGAGTTCTTTATTCTTCTAGTTGTTTACACGATTGCCACTGGAGGCAAATGCAAATAATAAAAATACTGAAGTGGGGGCAATGACAAAACCTTCCTCCTGGAATAAAAGTTATTTTGTCTTAATTGGGGTCGTTTCTCATCCTAAGGTCTCCATTCTACGAGTGCTTCACACCACAAATCTTGCCTCTTAGCAAAATGGCCAGCCCACTGCCGCTTGAGTTTTGTGATGACTGTCCCTTTTGTCTTATTTTTCTTTTTTTTTGTTTCCTACCAGACGGGGATGTGTGTGTGAAATCGTCATGAATACCCTACAGCCGGCTGCAAGGTTATGTCAGACTCACACACCTGTGCTTATGGCCAGAAGGGCCTTACAAGCTTCACCTGAAGCGATCATTCCCGATGCGGCAATTTTGTTTACATTTAAAGCAGCTTATATACTAATTTGGCCCCGGCCGCCGTCCAATCACAACGTTTCTTGCATGTCCCGCAATATGTAAGCTCTCTGATTAGCGGCGCATCGCGTGACCCCTCCCCCCCCGTCGCACGATACCCCGCACCCCTCTGACGTCCGAAAAGTAGGCCTCGTGATTGGACTACACGTTTCTTGTCTGGGTCGATGCACGGCGATCGTTAAAAGTATAGATTTCCATAGTACAATACTATATTCCTTAGTTTGAGACTAAAATTGTTGCTTACTTATAGAAGAGATAACTCAGACTAAGCTTACTGTACCGTTTTATTGTTTTTAATAATTAAACACTTCTATAATAATTTTACAGGGAAAGACCAAAAGATGGTACAGTGGAAAAACACGAGTTGAGAGAAAAAAGTCCGAAATCAGTGTTGAAAGAAGCCCAAGATAAATTAATAAAGTGAGTATACTTTCTAACCGTCAATGAAATTCTAATGCGTAGGTATATTTAATATTGTATTTTCCATATTTTATGTAAAAAAATGAAATGAACAAGTATTATCTAGCCCACCTGATGGGAAACGGCTGCACGAATTGTATAAAGTAGTATAATTAAAAAAACATTTTTGCAAACACTACACTAATTATAACGCGTTTTTATCACGCTCAGTTGTCTATGGAGTTTGAGAGTTAGTTGAAAACATGACGTTATGTAAATTGTGATGCTTATGCTACGGGGAAAGATATATATTTAGAATAGTAATCCTTTTAGAAATTATTCGCCCTTTTCGGATATCAGTTTGTTAGAGGGCTTAAAAAATTAATTACATTAAATGAATTCCAGAAAATCAGTATTTTCAATTAAGATAATATTTAAATAGTGGGATTCACCCCGGCAAACTAGTTGAGTATAAAACTGGACACCGAGCCTGCGCAGTCTCAATTTTTCATACAAAAACGTCTACTGCGCAGGTTAGTTTGTGGTTTTACTCAACAAGTGGTTGCCGCTACAACTACTTTTATTATTAATTATTGAAGATACAACTACAGTAGAAGCCAGGCGGGCAGCAGTCGTGACAAAAGCCCCAGTTCAGTGTTACGCGAGGCTAAAGTCAGACTGAGGAAACTTGAGATTGAGGCTGAAGCAGTAGAGAACTCCTACCTCGACTTCCGGAGAAGACAGACGGAAGTGAGACAAGCGAGAGACAGAAAGGATTATCAGGAACCTTCGTATGGTAAGATTTGTTAACTTTGATCATTAAACACGCCTAGAGATACCGTTTTAATTGCACGGAAGGGTCCCAAAAAATATCTACTACATATGGTAGATACGCTCGTCGCTAAACACACACACATTGATTGCTTTCAAACAAAACAATTTAACAGACATGAGTCACTCACACACTGCGCGTAATATGAGCCTTTGAGCTTTGCGTGGTTTATATGGATTGCTATATATAGGCGTTTAAATAATCAGAGATAGAAATTTTTAAAATTATGTATGTGTATTTATTTCTAGAGGACTATGGTGCGAGCAAGTTAAGCAACTTTCTTAGAGCCGGATCATAGATGGCTGATCGAAGTTTAACGTCTCGATCTTTGTGCTTTGAAAGGCATGTTAAGACTTTGGTCCCAGCTGTATCTGCTGTCTTTAGCACAGTGGACCCATTAATAAATTTGACAAAATATTCGGAATATAATTTTATTAGAATAGCCATAAATGATATTGCTCAGCTTCCATACATGTTTGACCTAAAGACCAATAATCATGAAAAATTGTTACCTAGATTCGAAATTATATATAAATTACTGTAGAAACGAATATTATTGACGGACACCCATGAGAACTTCTATAAACCATATACACTGAACATATTAAAATAATAAATAAGATATATAGTAAACTAGGGAAAACAAGCTAAGTACCGAAATTATGGATTAGATTCAGGTATATAGAGCATGTAGATTAACAGATAGTTGCCTGTTTTTAAAGTTAATGCATAAGAGTAATTTTTAAAATCAGGTGTCATTTCCGGTTATAATAAGGTACTCTGTGACAGAAACTGTGTGATGATAGTGAATAAGCCGCAGATTAGAGAGAACTAGCAAACCAGTGAACCAAATGTTCACCAAAACCTGATTTCTCGAAAACCGGAAGTGCTACGTTACTCAAATCCGGTTTGTAGTCTTATCAGACTATTCTTAACTTATAACTTAAATATTCTCTTTATCTATCTCTTACGGTTTGGCCGCTGAAACAGCACCACAGACAGACTGACGGACTTGTCTAATAGATAAGAGATTTTTAAACTCTCCTTAACCAAAGAAAGCTAAGAGATTTCGGGTTCTATAGCCATATATTCAGTAGTTTCATTATTTTTGTTATGTTTTTAAGATAACCATATTTTAGATTTTTAGTGTATCACACCTTTTAATTTTATTTATTTATTAATTTATAGTCAGGGAACGTAGGCCCATAGATACATACCTTAAAGTCTTTACAAAATAGATTTGTTTTTATGTTATATAAACAACTTCGATCAGTCTTTGGCTGAATGTTACTACACCCATAGCCATTAAAAATGATTCTTATGTTTTCCAAACCGGTAAAATTAAAAGTCCTTTTTAAAGTAAATATATTATATGTACAAAGGTGTCCGTTGAAATCTAATAACTGTAAATTAAATTATAAATTACGCCAAGAATTACCGTATATGTCAATATTTTTTGTGCATTTGGGCTAATTTGAGCAATCTCCTTTAACATAATTACCGAGTTTTTGTAGTAAATGTTATTAATACTTTTTTATTTTTTGATGTTGACGAGCCCTACGCCCTAAAATAACAATAAAAAACATCTATTAAATACTAATTTAAAATCTTATTTTTTTCAGATTTAAAATTTACACCATCTAACGACAGACAGCAAACAAGCACCGAAGCTCAACCGTACGCGTCAGCATCTCAAACACCAACAGTATTAGACAAATACAGAACAATAGTAAACACACTAGCAAACTTGAAAACATGGACACCGGGACACACTAACACCCGTCCTATACCGCCAGCCTACTCAAAACTAGAATCACAATTGAAAGAATCTCAACAAAGACGAGACTATTACTTAGAAACACCGCTAGCAGAATTCAGAAAGCTATATCGTTCGCAAACATCACCCATACGCGAAAGATCTTTAGAGAAAAATCCCAGTCAAGAGAAGGATTTACAATTTTCAGCTGACAACCATGAAGATGATTTACAGGGTGTTTCCGAGTTCAAAATCAAATCACTAAGACAATCCACGAACAAAGACGAGGCACAGGATATGCAAGATATTTCTGAGGCACGATTCAAATCCCCAAGTAAACCCACGAACGAAAACAAGAAATGGGCTTTGCAAGATGGTTCTGAGCCAAGAATTAAATCACCAATACGATCTACGACCAAAGACGATGAACAAGCTTTGCAAAATGTTTTAGAGCTAAAAATCAAATCACCAAGACTACCCACGAGCAAAGAAGACGAACTCGAAATCCTAAAAGAAAACATCAACAAAATATACAACTTAAACCCAAGTGACATCGATAATAAAGTCGCTCCAATAATAGAAATCATTGACAATAATGAAAACGCCATTACTGAAACAGAAGATCTAGAAGAAGAAATAGAAGCAGAAAATATTAACGTGATAGAAGAATCGAAAGAGTACGGTGATATTATCAGTGAACAAGCACAACCAGAGTTACTTTTAGTAGTCGAAAGTACTGTAGAAACGAAGGATATAGATATATCAGAGACAGAAATGCACCACGAAAAGATATCGACACAGATGACGATAATAGTTAGTCCTAAATTGGATGAGTTTAATGATGAAACGCTACAGTTAAAAAGAGAAGGACACGAGAGAACTGTGTCTCCGGAACAAGCTGCGAAACTAACAAGAAACGACGCATTGAACGCTATATTCCAAGCTGATCCTAATAAAGTGTATTCCAGTGTGGAAACTGAATTAGACGTGTCTAAACAGGGAGTAGAAGATTCTATAAGCGACCAAGAGAAAGCCTTAGAAGACTACCCTGATGATTTTTCCGCCGATGTAGATAATTATAACAGTCGGTCAGATTACGAGGCCCTATCTCCCGTGTCCATAATGAAAAACTCCGAAGACGACAATTTCTGGGACACGTAAAATGTGATAAATAAAACAAACATCGAAACCATTCATAATTTATTCTATATAATGTCTATTGTGAATTAAAACATACAATATAAACTTTTCTTTTTTAAAAATTCTCTTTCGTTATTTTTATTATTATTTTTTTTTATTTTCTTTTATATATATATTATAAAAGTACAAACGTTTCTCAGTGCAACATTCCACTTTTTCACACTTTTGGCAATAACACAAATGTTCTGACGGTTCTCTATAACATACATATAAATGCTTAAAAATCAGTAGAAATAACATTATTGTCATTACAGGGCTATAATTATAATGGAATCAAGTGAAACTTTACTAGAAACATTTAACACAAACTGGTGCTAATAAAACAATACAAAAGTGCTTACAATCAATTATTATCAATCAAAATAACATATTTTCTTATTATACACATTTGAGATTATATGTCTTATGCACTTAACTTGGCTATTCGTGATTGCTATTTGGAAACATGTGACATCAGCCCGTCCTTTTCATTCCTCGTAGAGCAGACAAGGACAGACTGATGTAAAGTTCACAAATAGCAAACACGCATAGCCCAGCGAAGTGCCGGCATTACGAAATAACGGAGATACCGCACTTAAGTAACACATTTTAACTAAGATTCATAATCAATGGATCATACTTCAACATTAAAATGTTAACCAAAATTACATGATCAAATCGGTATAATAACAGTTAGAAATAGTCCCATCATTTCAATATAAAATATGCAAAATGTAAAGAAACAGATCAGATTAGTAAGTGTGAGATGTTATTTGAATAGAGAAATATGTAGAAAGAATCAGTTTGGTCCTTAAAATGACTGCTACAAAATAATAAGTACTATTTAGTAGAACAGAGTAAAAGAGTTCTCGCTTGTTTTCTTGTCTGCTGCAGTGTATATTGCATTCTCACCGCCTTATTTCAATACGCAGACTAAAGTTAAACTGGACTTACACTGATGCTGTCACTTTTGTTTGCTATTAATAAGACACAGACAACATTAGGTTTCAACCAGGTCTTACTTTAGTCCGCGTTTCGGAATAAGCATGTATAAGTACAATTCGATCCTTTTCATACGATATTAATAAAGCTACTTTATGTCGAATGCGTAAGGCAAATTTTCATTGTTCCAAAAATGTAAGTAAGGTTCAAACATATAACAACTTTATTAAGAGCGTTTGTGGTAACCCTTGGTGGTTCCAATGCTTGACTAAAATGTTATGTTTGTAATCTTATTAGCTTATCTTAACTTAAAACTAAATTTGACAGGCAGTATCTCGTTTTTAATCTCTAAAAAGAATGTGAATGAATGACACAATAAATGAAGAATTTAATATAATACATATTATTTCAAATCTAAAAAAATATTGGTCTCTTTCGTTTATCAAGTCGTTGTATACGATTTTGACCATTAAAGTATATGCTTTTAGGTGAAATTTTAAATTACAGTATAGTGAGTAGATGAAAAGCCTATGAAAATAAAGTGTTCATAGTAAGGGGGCGTGCACTTTGAATGTTTTCGTACGTATATACACAAACACAGTTTGGCTATTTGACGTAGAAAACTACTTGCAGAGTTGGCCACTTAATTCGTACTGCCTACTTTGTGCGTATACGTATGATCATAATAATTCGCACGGTAAAATATCTGGATTTATAGCTCCCTATTAAAACTTACAATATATTTGCATTACAGCAACAAATTGAGTAAGACATTGAAAAATAAGTTTAAAATTAACGTTTAAACGATTTTGCACATTTTCCATTGAAATGAACGCAACAGGACTGTGGTGGATAAACATACATGTTACAAACATCATGTGCAATAATAATATATAGAAGACTAGCTGACCCAGCGAACTTCGTACCGCCCTAAAAAAATAGGGGTTGTCCAGCGGACAAAATTGTGAATCTAAACCATTCTCAGATCCCCTTGAACACACAAAAAATTTCATCAAAATCGGTGCAGTCGTTTAAGAGAAGTTCAGTGACATACACACTCACAGAAGAATTATATATATAAAGATATGACAATCAAAGATTAATTATAAAGTTAAAACATTATCTTTCATAACTCCTGCTTTTATTGCTCTTGATGATATTTTGTTAAAATATGTCGTAATTTTTTTGTCTTTTACCAATCATAAGAACATATCATTAACCGTAAATATGGTCAATTTAGACTGTAACTTACTGGACAAATGTAAGTATAATTATTAAATCCATACTTTGGGATTTACATTTATTCATGGACTATTTATTGTGTTAACGCAAATACACACCTAAATCTACGCAGGAAAGTACCCACGCCATAATCAAAGGAAACTCCCTATTGTCACAAGTGGAAAAAATAATGAAATATCTAATTAACAACTATTTAATTAAAAAAAACTTATTTTATTGCAAAAATAACGCATTCTGCAGAAACTAAAATAGGAGACTCTCTTTATGTTGTGTTAACTATTATGCTTAGTATTTCTGAGAAACACGTTATTTCATAGTCAAAAGATAATATATTTTGAGTTCCTTTCTGTTTTAAAGTACAAAAACCGGGATAGCATAATATCGGAATCTCTTATTTGTGCAACTATTGTGTTTATATTTAAAGTAAACATTTTCATAGTCAATGGTCGTAAGAGTTAGTCAATACGCGGGATTATAAATGTAATTAACATAGTTATAAAGAATAGATTCGTGTGTTGCCTGAATATTTTAGGTTGACTTAAAATCCTAAACTCACGTTGTGGTCAGCGTTCTTTGTTGCCGTCGCGGATCGCGGCGAATTCGGTCCCGTCACGCGCAGCCAATTTGACACCTGTAAAATAACCATAAAAATCTCAGAACAAGAACTAAAACATAGAAAGACGCAATGAATAAATAAAATCAGTGCATCTAACTCGTTGAAACTTGTTTTATTTAATGAGTGATGAGCGTGAAAACCTAAGAGACAAAAACATAGAAAGAGTCTAAATTCAACTCTTGTGAGTTGAATTTAACTTCGTATAGTTATAATTTTTATTATTTTTAAAGCATGTTACTGCTTGATGTTTAAATCTAAAGAAAATCAGCAGCTTAAGAATAGCTAGAAGGAATTTCGACGCGGTCCGTGAGGGCCGCGGTAGCATAATTGGTCAGTGCATTCGCCCGGATTGCGAAGGGTGCGGGTTCGAGTCCCGTCTGCTGCCTGGTCCGCGTGGAATTTTTTCTAGTTATATTTTCTTTAGATTTAAACATCAAGCAGTTACATGCTTTAAAAATAATAAAAATTATAACTATAATTGCAATTTCTTCTTTCAAATGTTTAATACTTGTAAAAGTATTCATTTGACATTGTGGGTTTACCTATAATGCGAAGAGATGGCGCTGCCTTGCAGCTTAAGAATAGCTAGAAGGAATTTCGACGCGGTCCGTGAGGGCCGCGGTAGCATAATTGGTCAGTGCATTCGCCCGGATTGCGAAGGGTGCGGGTTCGAGTCCCGTCTGCTGCCTGGTCCGCGTGGAATTTTTTCTTGTTATATTTTCTTTAGATTTCGTATAGTTAGTTATCTTATTTTTAAATATAGACCAAAAATGGAAATATATGTTACTGAACCATACTATGAACAGTGTGCGTACCGCTACACAAACGTCAAATAGGCTATTTGACAGTATGAAAAATAATGTACTAATTCTTGGCATCTGTATTTAATATGAATATAAGCTGCGATTTTACTATTCTGAAAGAACAAATTGTATTAATAACTTTCGTTGCAAAATCATTAAATACAAATGATTTTTTTGCTCCACGGTCACGTGACCGAAAGCGCCTGGGATTGACTAAGACTAAATTGACGTCACACGCCTAGTAGACTTTCGGTCAAAGTGACATTACATTGTATCGTTCGACGTTCTTATTGACAGTCGTGTGACGTCACATACTAGTGCGACGCCATAATGTCTACAGAAACGTTTTCTCGGCAACTTGAAATTTGAATTTTTTATTCAGTTTTTTTACTGAACGAAATTTGTGTCAGTCACCGTGTGTGTGCCGGCCATAGAGGTATAAGAATAGAGTAGGGGAGATACAGACTCTACTAAAGTACAAGTGGAAGTGTCCCTCTAATATAAAGAGAAAGAAGATGAGAGACCGCTAGCTTTCTCTCTCTAATCGCGCATGCGCAACCGTAAGCATCTTACTATTTCGATATGATGCCATTAGATGCCATGCGTCACAAAAGAGAGATAGCTAGCGGTCTCTCATTTTCTTTCTCTTTCTACTAGAGGGACACTTTTAGAGCCACCTTCCCCACTCTATTCTTATACCTCTATGATGCCGGCTTAGAATAGCACCGCCCCTCTCGTCCCATGGGTATCGTAAAAGACAACTAAGGGAGCACAGCCAGCAGAAGACGGGCAGCAGCGTCTTGTTGCAATATCTTGGCTGTACTGCGATCGCCAAACTGCCTGCCAAGCGTGGCGATTATGGCAAAACTCCCCAAGATGTCTAGCAAAAGTATAGATCGGCTCCTAGTCCTAGTGTTGAAAGCAAGGCTAGAGACGTCAAAACCAAGTTTACTCGACACCATACCGAAGATATCCCGGACGTCAGCCTGTATGGAATTAGCGTGACTCTTAAACAACAACAAAAACAGCAAGGCGGCGGGTGATGATGGAATCACGGCAGAACTTCTGAGAGCGGGTAGGAAGCCGATACTCAAAGTCCTCCAGAAGCTTTTCAATTCCATCAACCTTGAAGGCAGAACGCCAAAAGCATGTGCCAGGGGTGAGGTTGTCCTGCTCTTCAAGAAAGGTGACAAAGCAATCTTGAATAACTATCGACCAATCTCACTCCTTAGCCATGTTTATAAGTTGATTTCGAGTAATTAGGAATCGCCTGGTTCGCATTGAATTTTTGCTAGTAAAAAAGATTTAATTTTATATGTCACAAACTGCTTTCAGGATCTGCGTTATTTCTGCTACACCCTGTATATAGAGGAAATATAACTTTACCTGTAACGGCGTATGCGTTGCTCGCGGCGTAGACTGGCGTATATCTCGTTTGGGCGTCGAGCATCGATCCGGGGTCGATACCCCGGGGGAAGGACATATCCCCAACGAAGGGGAGTTCACTACCGACGGAGATAGAGGGATGTTCAACGAGCGGGGCGAGTAGTTATCCTCGTTGGATGAAATCGTTGGCCAACTGTAAAAATGGATATTTTTAAAGTGAAACTTCTTTAGGCACGCTTGACTTGGGGGGTAAGCTGGCAAATGCGTTACGCGTTACGAAAAGTATGTTCAGCCGAGGCGATCGGGAGTTGAGTGGGGGATATAAGCAAAAGAAAGCAGTGCGCGTGCACTGTTTCTTTCTCTCGTTCTCTTATAGCTATTAAATGATATATGTATATATATACATACAGATGGAGCAAAACTTTTTTTGTAATGTTAAAACGTTGGCAAACAAGCTTACGGCTCGCCTGATGGTAAGCGGTCATAGCCTATAGATAGACGCTTGCGATAACAAAAATATAACTCGCGACGGTGCCTACCCTGACTCAGTCCCTACAACGCGGAGCCCTGGAACCTTACTGACCGACAGAAACACTGGTTAAAATGATGAAATAAAAATTACTTATAGTTATATTTTTTTTAGCATTTAACTGCTAGATGCTTAAATGGAAAGAAATGTTTTACTAGATAAAAATCCACGCGAACCAGGTGTCGCCTTGCAGCCTGAGAAATACTAGAGAAAATTCGACACGGTCATCAGGGCCGCGGTAGCATAATGGTCATCGATCACGGTGCATCCGTCCGGATAGCGGAGGGTGCGGGCTCGAGTCCTGCGTGGAATTTCTGCAATTAAATATTTCTTCCGATTTAAAAATTACTTAAATTGATTCAATTGTATATTTGTAACAGACTCAATCCCTGGAACCTTACTGACCGTCAGAAACACAACACCACCAAAAGGTAGTGCTATTTTACTGTGTTCTATCTTCTGTAAGGTGGAGGTTACTTCTCCAAGCGGGCGCTCCAATTCGAGAAAGATTATTACCAAAAAAAATGCAAAATATTCAGGGTAGCAAGAAATTTTCTTGCTCGAGTATGAGTTTACCCGTCTTGGGACATACAGGAAATTACAGTGAGATAAATAAATAAATATTTCCAACACTCACACCAATTAGCCTAATTTTGTTATGGGATGCTAGTAACGGATAGAATACATATACTGTACATATATAAGTATATTTATATAAAATACATATTAAAGTGCTCGTTTTCATCACACAAACATCTGCCCCCACCGGGATTCCAACCTGGGGGGACCTCTCGAGTCGGCGACACCATGAAACCCGGCGTACAAACCACTCGGTCACGGAAGTCGTCATAACAATACCTTTTGGCGGTGTTGTGTTTCTGTCGATAAGGTTCCAGGCCTCCTCGGGGTAGGGTTCTATACCTCTGACTGTCTACTCTTACAGGTGTGTCTTCGTGAAGGGAGGTGTTAGATAGATACTTAAAGGCCAGAATGTATTCATCTATCTGTTTTTTGGAGTTATTATAATTTTGAGTCATTTTAGATAATGATTGCTGAAGGCTTCATAACTTAATATTCTATGACTCCATATTTTGTTCATAAGTTAAGCTATTTTCTTCAATTATGGAACGGCAAATATCTATTTTTTGTAATAACTGTGTACGTTCTTTAACAAAATCAATATTTCTATAAAATGATTTTTCTTTATTTATAAGTTTCCTAGTTTTTAAAATATACCTTCTGACTTTAACATATCTTTTTAATTTGTTCTTACTAAGCATAACAAGTCCCTTCCCGGCAGAACACTGACATGAATTGTCAGAATTTGAAATCATTTACCAATTTCAAATCATTTATCATCAGGGGTTAATGTTACATTTAGAATAGATGGGCTGCTAGCACTGCATTAGAGGTCCTCCGGGTGATGCCATCAGTTCCTCATAAAGACTTTGGTTATGTGCTGACTCTTGAAGCTGCTGTACTTCCATAAAATGCGCTATTTGGGTATTTGCTGCACTTAGCTCCTTCTTAAGGTCAGTGATGCGTTGCAGAGCCCTCTCATAAGTGCTGAACTGCTCATCATAGTGGCTGACGGTATCATTCAAATTGTCTCGTTGTTGTTGGACTTCTATGTGTTCAGTATGAAGATGCGACAGTTCACACTTAAGCTGCGTGTTCCTGTCTATGACCTTTCTAATTTCTTCTTCATTCTCCTCACGTTCTTGAAGTAGCTGACTACAAGTCTCCTTTGCATGCTTGAGTTCTTCAAGAGCATGCCTCAGTTGGAGCTCTGTGCATTGAGCTGCAGCTTTGCGGGTCATCATGTAATCAGATGTCAGAGGTAACCTAACTCTATGAGATGTCTGACTGATGCAAAAATGAGATAGATTTGACTATGAGCCTGCTCAAAATTACTGAGATCCATGAACTATTAAAATAATAATGGAAAATACATCTATGTACCGAGAATGAGAATTCTAGCATAATAATAGAAAGAGTACCTTTCTACTAGATTAGCTTTTCTGCCTTGCATCTCCTTTTCAACTGTATTACAGACCATGTTGAATACATTTTCACTACTTATTTAATATTTTTCACAACAAAAAAACACGTTTAAAATATGACAGCTGCAATATTCGGCTGTGGTTAGGGTCAAGCGTCTGCAGCGCCATCTATGTCAAGCTTTGCGCATACTTCTCCATTAATCATGTCGCTCACACCTGAGGAATGCACCAAAATTCTCACAATGCTGGAAACCGTGGACCATAAATTATTTATCTACTAGCGGCCGCCCGCGACTTCGTACGCGTGGAGTTAGTTAGAAATAAAGGTTCACTGCTCGTTCCCCGTACGTGATAGCGTGATAATATGTGCCTATATGTTGACCCGACTTCTTAATAATATTCGTGCCAAATTTGAAGTGAATCCATGCAGTTCTTTTTGAGTTTATCCCGGACATACATACAGACAAACACAAAAATTCTAAAAACTATATTTTTGGCTTCGGTATCGATTATAGATCACACCCCAAGAATCCTTTTAAAAAAATATTCAATGTACAGTTTTGACTTTCCTGCTATTTTATTATATGTATAGATAGATACTCACGCTTCTCTCTCAGCAGGCGTATACAAGGCCACGGTATGCCTCCACCGATACACGTTGGGAAACTGTGCAGGATCCACGGGACACTGGGACACCGCATCGAATACAAGGCGATCCATCTTACTGGGCTCTTCGCTGTAAAAGAGAATGCGGGATAATTTTGTAAGATATTAGTGTCGATTCTGGTGTAATATCTAATATATAAAATTCTTGTGTCACGGGTAGTTTTCCAATTACAGAGCATAATGCGACTCAGTGGCTCACAATGCCGAATTATGCTGATGCTTTATTGGAACGTGAGTTAGTTTTCAAATGCACCAGCAGAGTGCGCTTAATTCAGTGTCGAAAAAAAAAGTCAATGTTTCAACTTTCATCCATACTTATATTTATTTTTTTAACACAGTTTGAATTAACTTTGATTATTTAAAACAAAGCTACAATGAAACGAAAGCTTTAAAAAAAATTCAACAATAAATAAAATTACTAACGATAAATAAAACATTTCGATCAACGCCAACTTAAAGAAAAAAACACTTAATTTTCTGTCACTAAGTTGGTACGATTGCACGCATCACACGAAAATATTACTTTTGCGAGTGCTCGATTGTGCGAAGCGTTGGTGTAGTTCAAACATTCAACGTTAAGCATTATGCCGCATAATGCGCGCTAGTGCTGTAATTGGAAAACTACCACGGTGTGCGTAATTGAAGTACTCCGAAACGGCCCTATCGATTTTCATGAAATTTTATATGCATATTCAGTAGGTGTGAGAATCGGACAACATCTATTTTTCATCCCCCTAAATGTTAAGGGTGGTCCTACCTTAAATTTTTTTTGGACAATTTTTTTTGTTTTTATGATACATACAACCCTAAATTTTCACCCTTCTACCACCAACCCCTATTTTTTATGGCGGTACGAAGTTCACTGGGACAGCTAGTAATAAATAATAAGAATATCACCCACACTCACACCAATTAGCCTAGCCCCAGGGCCCGATCTAGATTTTTTTCCGCTCAGGGCAAAAAATTTTACATCACTAATATGTACTTTACGGCTAACCCTAAGTCAATTTTACCGTCCCTAATTTTTGCCGCTCTGGGCAAATGCCCGGCTCTCTTGGATCGGGCCCTACCTAGTCGTAAAGAAAGCACTGTATGTAAGGCTTGTGCTATGGGATACTAGGGTAACGGATCGAATATTACGTATGGGTACCGAGTCACACATACGTAAGTCCATCAATGCCTAGTTGTGTCCAAGGCTTGTATAGTACTTTATTTGAATTCGATAATGGTTCCTGTCAAAGGTGCTGTAGTCCCTGCGACTTTAAAGTGAAGAAACTCACCCGTATATAAAGGTTTCGGCGATGGCTCGGTCGCTGGCCTCCATCATTCCGTTCTCGTCCTCGTTTTCGGACGCGGTCATATAAGCGTCCTCGCCATCGGACTGACTCGACCCGCCCGACTCGTCGTCCGATATCTGAGAAGGAACAACGAAGGAAATTAGAATACCTATACTTTAATCAAAGAATCTATTTATTTATGTTTTTATTTTTTAGCATTCAACTGCTAGATGTCTAAAGCAAAGTTTACTAGAAAAAAAACCCATGCGCACCAGGCCGCATACGGGACTCGAACCCGCACCCTTCGCTATCCGGGCGAATGCAGTGACCATTATGCTACCGCGGCTCTGACGGCCGTGTCAAATTTCCTCTAGCCTTAGGCTGCAAAGCAGCGCCATCTCTTCGCATTGTAGGTAACCCACAATGTCAAATGAAATACCTTTACAAGTATTAAACATTTGAAAGAAGAAATAGCAATTATAGTTACGTTTTTATTATTTAAGCATTTAACTGCTAGATGTCTAAATCTGTGGGTTGGATGGGTCTGCGGATGGTTGAATTGTGGGTTACCTACAATGCGAAGAGATGGCGTTGCTTTGCAGCCTTAGGCTAGAGGAAATTCCACACAGCCGTCAGGGCCGCGGTAGCATAATGGTCAGTGCATTCGCCCGGATAGCGAAGGGTGCGGGTTCGAGTCCCGTCTGCTGTCTGGTTCGCGTGAATTTTTTTCTAATAAACTTTTCTTTAGATTTAGAGATCTATTATTTTCTCCATACAACTCTGCCCAATTTTGTACTTCAAATATTATCATGCATTTATGTGTAGAAAATACGCCAATTTCATCAAAAATATAAATGGAATTTATTAGCCACTTGCCCCATATAAAAATGTCGTTCAAACATTTAAATTTATGGCAACAAATTAATTTCATTTCATTTCGAACCAATAGTATTGGCTATTATTTGTCAGTCAATAACAAATAGCGTCTAAGATAAGGTTTCTTTATATGAAGTTTCTCTATTTTAATGCAGATTTTCAGCAATTTTTATTTAATTTGTTTGAGATTTTGATAAGTGATTCGTTTTAATAGAAGTATAATTTTAGATGTTTTTTGTTATAATTTGTACAGAGGTACAAAACTAGGCAAAAATCGAAGATATCCTTTACTACTTATAAAGAATCTTTTATTTAATCGTTCAATTATTTTGTAAGAAATTATTGAAACTATTTAGGGAGGTAATCATTATATTAATATTCGAATGAAAAACTTTGGTACTCATAATTTTTAAGCATATTTTAACACATTTTTTACTCATAGAGGAGTATTACGATTTTGGATGATAGAAATTGATGTATAAGAAATATATATATATAGCACTGGACTGCCAACAGTAAAGTCTGTTTCAACAGTGGGGATTAGAAAAAGATCTATGGCCCTGGACTGCCTACAGGAAAGTCTGTGTTGCAACGGTAGGGATTGGAAAAATATTTATAGCACTGGCGGTTAATCGCCTAATGGAATTGCTATGGCTATCGCTATAGCTTACGATTTTATTTTGTTATTTCTGACCGCCAAAGGTTTTCAAATACCTTATGCTCATTTTCTTTTATATTGTTGTTACCAATACAAAAGAAAAAAAAAGAGCGCGGGGATTTGAAAATCTTCGGTGGTAAGAAATAACAAAATGAAAATATAAGTGAAAGCGAGAGCCATAGAAATCTCGTTAGGCGATTGGCCCCCTGGACTGCCTACAGGAAAGTCTGTTCAAACAGTAAGGATAAGAAAAATATCTTTAAAACTGGTCTGCCTACAGGAAAGTCTGTTCCTACAGTGGGGATTTAACAGTTTCATGATGCTGCAGCATGATACCGACTTACCTCAGCGGCCACGACTTGGCATTTGTCTGTTGTCACGGTATAAAGTTCCGGTTGACTGTCGCCCGCGGGTGAATTCACGCTGACCAATTGTTCAGCTACGTTGTTCTGAAGCTTGCCGTCACCTGGCAAACAAATAACATAAAATAATACGGTTCGGTTGCGATCGTTGAAGTTAAGCAACTTTCGCAGTGGTCGGCCATTGGATGGGTGACCAAAAATCTTCTAGCTCGAGTTGCTCCGTGTTTCGGAAGTCACGTTAAGCCGTTGGCCCCGGCTGCATCTGCTGTCGTTAGCACCCGCTTATCCGCACTGGGTCCGTGTAGTGGGTCATGGCCCAATCTCCCTATTCCATCCATAGGGAAGGCCTGTGCCCCAGCAGTGGGGACATTAATAGGCTGATGATGATGACGAATAACCTCCCCGCTAGAAGAAACTATGAATATATAGTAGGTTTTTTTTTATAAAACTTTGCATTGTATTCATTGCAGGCAACAAACTCGTAAAATCTTTTCAAATCATTTGCTCAAAAAATACATTTAAGAAGGTTGTATACATTGTTCGAAAGTTCTAATTACGGGGCATACAACGGAGCGTGCGGTAAATCATTTTACAGCACGCTCCATTGTATGGCCCGCCTAACGCGATTAGGCGGTAGACCTCTAGTTGTATAACTCTCACCAATCTCGTGATCGAACGACAATCTTCTTATGAAGCTGTCGCTCTTCGGACTCGTGAACAAACTGGACCTGTTCTTCCTGAACGACGCGTTCTTCTTGCTGTTCCTCTCGAACGCCTCGATCTTCCAGTCGCACCTGCATTTTGACGCCTTCGACCATATATCGGCACATTCGATCTCCGATATCGCCGGCCCTTTCGTCACATCCGTTTCCGTCAATTCTTCGCATATAAAACTAGCTAGGCACCTTACGTGACCGTCAATCACTTGCGCCATATTAATTCTATTAGTCCCCCTATAATATACAGGTTTCCTTTCATCGTCGGAGCTAAAAATATCATCGTTGGGACATCTTAGTTTAATCAAAAACTCCGCCAAATGATTGATATCGTCCAAGTCTTTAGTCTTCTGTTTCAACTTGAAAACGACTAGCTGAGCCAACCTAGAGTGTATCAAAGCGAAATCTATGGTCTGGAATCGTTCGTCGTCCATGTATGTGAGCATGGTATGTTGCAAATGTTTCGCTTCCGATTTCAGCGAATCCCCAGCGACTTCCGGCTCAGCTGTCAATGAGAAGACTAGAGCATCCGCTATCCTTTTTGCGAACACTTGGCATGTTCTTTCTATGCACAAAAGCTGGCTGACTGTATGATTCATTGGCGCTGGGGAATCCCCGTTTGTTACAACAGGCTTGGTTGCCGTCGGTTGCCTACAAAGTCTGAGTCTCACGCAATCGTTCTGATTCCAATGTGCGGGTCTTTCCGAAGTTAATTTGCAAGTTCGCATCGCAACGCACAATTCCGACATGGGACTTAATGGGTCTTGTGTAGGACTCGCTTGTTGAGATGTGTTAAAGCTTAATCTTGATAATGACAATTCATCGGGTGGTTGGGAGTTAGCACAACTATCGTTGTAGGCGAAAGAGCAGGCGCTGTCGTATTTAGTCTTCAGATAATTCTCTAGGAGAGTTAGACCCTCGGGAGTTCGAAGATCTGTGAACGTGTCTAAGAATGGCCAGTACTCTTTCCAACCGATCTTCATTTGCTCAGCTAAGTCCCTGGAAAGAACAGTAGAGATTGAGAATGTGCTTCTTGAACTGCCATAATCTTATTACCAAAAACCAAAAGTTTCTAACAACAGCGATAGTAAAACTGCTACCAGTTTTTTAATGCATAGAATTACGATAATTGGTTTAGTTGTTGCAATGGAAAAAAGTTAAGAGTTCACTCCTAACAATGTCCAGGTTTAATTCGAATTAAAAGTCCAGAAATAAAAAAAAATTATACACTTATGTTATTTAAACTATTTGTTACTTATAAGTGCTGGGATTCCCCAAACAAACTTCTACCCCCCTTTTCATCCTTTTATAGGCTTCTTTCTGGGATAAAAACTATTCCATGTCTAAAGAAAATTTTTACTTGAAAAATTCCCCGCGGGCCAGGCAGCAGACGGGACTCAAAACCGCACCCTCCGCTATCCGGGCGGATGTACTGACCATTATGCTACCGCGACCCTAATGGCCGTGTCGAATTTTCTTTAGTATTTCTTGGGCTGCAAGGCAGCGTCATCTCTTCGCATTGTAGGTAACCCATAATGTCAAATAAATACCTTTACAAGTATTTAACATTCGAAAAAAGAAATAGCAATTATAATTATATTTTTTGAGCATTCAACTGCTAGATCTTTAAAATCTAAATTTTTCTTTTTCTGGGACTCAAACTATACGTAAGTATATAAAATTTCATAAAAGCGGTTAAAGCGTGAAGAGATAACAGACAGACAGACACACTTTAGCATTTATAATATTAGTATGGATCACGATACTTGTGCTGCGGGAAAAGATTTAAAGTAGAATTCATTTTATCTAATATATTTTCTGTGGAATTAATACTGACCTGCCCACAGTCTCGAGCCCCTTGCTCAGATCCTGGTGCCGGGGCGGAGTCTTACACCGTCTCCGGAAGGTGACATACAGACGGACATGGAGCCGGTGACAATATACTGACCTGCCCACAGTCTTGAACTCCTTGATCAGGTCCTGGTGCCGGGGCGGAATCTTCCACCTTCTCCGAAAGATGACAGAGAGACAGACATGGGGCTGGTGACAATATACTGACCTGCCCACAGTCTTGAGCTCCTTGATCAGGTCCTGGTGCCGGGGCGGAATCTTCCACCGTCTCCGAAAGGTGACAGACAGACAGACATGGGGCCGGTGACAATATACTGACCTGCCCAGTCTCGAGCCCCTTGCTCAGATCCTGGTGCCGGGGCGGAGTCTTACACCGTCTCCGGAAGGTGGCAGACAGACAGACATGGAGCCGGTGACAATATACTGACCTGCCCACAGTCTTGAACTCTTTGATCAGGTCCTGGTGCCGTGGCGGAATCTTCCACCGTCTCCGAAAGGTGACAGACAGACAGACATGGGGCCGGTGACAATATATTGACCTGCCCACAGTCTTGAGCACCTTGATCATGTCCTGGTGCCGGGATGGAATCTTCCACCGTCTCCGAAAGGTGACAGACAGACAGACATGGGGCCGGTGACAATATACTGACCTGCCCACAGTCTTGAACTCTTTGATCAAGTCCTGGTGCCGTGGCGGAATCTTCCACCGTCTCCGAAAGGTGACAGACAGACAGACATGGGGCCGGTGACAATATATTGACCTGCCCACAGTCTTGAGCACCTTGATCATGTCCTGGTGCCGGGACGGAATCTTCCACCGTCTCCGAAAGGTGACAGACAGACAGACATGGGGCCGGTGACAATATATTGACCTGCCCACAGTCTTGAGCACCTTGATCATGTCCTGGTACCGGGACGGAATCTTCCACCGTCTCCGAAAGGTGACAGACAGACAGACATGGGGCCGGTGACAATATACTGACCTGCCCACAGTCTTGAACTCCTTGATCAGGTCCTGGTGCCGGGGCGGAATCTTCCACCGTCTCCGAAAGGTGACAGACAGACAGACACGAGGCCGGTGACAATATACTGACCTGCCCACAGTCTTGAACTCCTTGATCAGGTCCTGGTGCCGGGGCGAAATCTTCCACCGTCTCATAAAGGTGACAGACAGACAGACATGGAGCCAGTGACAATATACTGACCTGCCCACAGTCTCGAGCCCCTTGCTCAGGTCCCGCAGGCGGAAGGCCCGGGGCATTTGGCCTTGGTTTCTGGGTGGAGTCTTCCACCGTCTCCGGAAGGTTTCCGCGTCAGAGACAGGCATGGGACCGGCGTACGCGCGTATCTCGTACCGGGGACTCAACGGGTCCGGGTTTATCTCCTGTGACATATATTTCAATACTTGTGGCTGTCCGCTACATTGTCTCAGTAGAATAATTGGATTCCCATACCAACTTTCGCCGCACTTCTCATTTGTTAAAAGATGATTTCTGGGATAAAAACTATCTACGAAGCTCTATGCTATACATTACTCATATAATATCATCATATACATATCAACATATCATCATGTGGCCGGCGTATAGTTATAGCCCTATACTCATACATTATCATCATTTGTTTATCATTTTTTTTTCATGTCTTTTTCTGTGATTTTAACAATATTTGACAGCATATAACAATTGAAATTTGTTTTAGTGTTTTCGCTCTCTTTTATTTCTAAAATCTTTTCCACAATCCTGTATATTAAATTCAATGTTGCTATTTTTTAAGAGAAATGTAAGTACATATTGTTGTCTAAATCTATTTGCATTGCATGTCAGCAAGACAGAATACAGTAGAACTAAATATAATTTGTATGTTTCAACACAACAATAACCTGTATTCGTATTAAAAAATCTTTGAATTTTGATTTGAATTACTTATACGCAATTTGAGGAGCTCGATGGCGCAAGTGGTTAGTGCGTTTGGTTGCGATCGTTGTAGTTAAGCAATTTTCACAGTGGTCGGTCATTGGATGGGTGACCAAAAATTTACTATCACGAGCTCCTCCTGGCTTCGGGAGGCACATTAAGCCGTTGGTCCCGGCTGCATCTGCAGTCGTTAGTACCCACCACACCACACTGGGCCCGCATGGTCGTTCACGGCCCAATCTCCCTATTTCATCATTTCGTGCAATGGGGACATTAATAGGCTGATGATGATGATGATACACAATTTTGGGTGGTTTTTAAGTCTTAATTTCTGAGTTTTGAAGACTACACTAATTGTCTGCTAATGTAGAGGATTTTAAAGACTTAAATGAATGTTATTATATTGACCGGCGGTGCTGCAAGCGTGAAGGTCCAGCCTATAGTGGGTGAAGCTGCATTATGTTCAGCGCCTGTGCCTCAGCAGTGGGGACATTAATAGGCTGATGATGATGATACAAAATTTTGGGTTGTTTTAAGTCTTAATTTATGAGTTTTAAAGACTAACAATTATTGTTTTCTATTATGGAGGATCTTAAAGACTAAGATGAATTATATAAATATATAAAAATATATATATATATAAATAAGAAGAACCTTCTTGTTCTTCTTATTTATTTATTTCACTGTCATAGGATGCCTAGAAGAGATTGCTATTTAGCAATACGGCCGCCTATTGCGTACGTTTTCACTGTCATGTTTAATATCTTGTATGTCCTGTGAGGTGTATGTCAATAAAGAATATTATTATTATTATGATTGTTATTATATTGACCGGCGGAGCTGCAGGCGTGAAGGGCCAGCCTATAGTGGGCGGTGCTGCATCATGCTCAGCGTGCAGCACGGGCACGTAGAACCGGTCGCGCAGCATGAGCCCTATGCGGTCCACGACCTCGGGGGATGAGTTGGTAGCGCGTTTGCAGATCACCTTGTGAAGGAAACAGATATTTATAATAAATTGTCAACGAAATTCAATACCCTAGCTAGACTAAAGCGAAGTAATCAGACAGATAAGAACGTTAAAAAACCAGGTTTCTACACTATAAATTTGAATGCATTATGGAGAAGAAAGAGAGGGAATTATAAGACCTATCTAGTAGGATGTAATCCAGCGTACCAACCAAGGTGACCTTGCCCGTTGCCATCCATCTAGACGAATGAGGTAATCCAAATTTTGATTTGACCTTCAACGTCCTTGGATTACGGGCGCGTGTTTACATTCGTGGTTGGAGCGCGTGGATTACAACCCATTGGCCGGCGGATTATAACCGTTTGGCAGGCAGATTACAACCGTTTGGCCGTCGGATTACAACCGTTTGACCGGCGGATTAAATCCAACCAAAGACAGTTGCGCTGTGGCAGGCGGCGGATGCGCACGTATTCTTAGGAAGTTATGAATATCATTAAAGTCCAATAACTCCAATAAGTTTGAATAAATGGTTGGTACGCTGGATTACATCCGTCTAGAAATAGGCTTTAATGAATTATGCCTTTTATTCTTCAATCACTACAATGGACAAATATTCAAGGCGTTATAATATACTTCTTTCAAAAACACACACAGTGAAAGTGTACAAACAAAAACAAAGATGGTTATCATTTACTGCAAACTAAAAGGCATAAAATAAAAATTAATAATCGAAAATTTTAAAAACAAGACTGCCCTACCTTTCTAATAACTAGCTGAAAACTCAAATACAAGTGCAAAACAATTATTGCTATCAGGAAAACTTTTACTGAATTTTAATGGAACAGTCCCTGCAATGTTTCAAATTTTTTTTTCTCATTACTGTTTTATTTTGGATGTTGGCTTTAGGGCCCGCTAAGGGAGGGGTGGAGGGGATTATGGGGCAATGAACTGCATTAAACCCATTGTCCTACCTTAAAAAATACTATTGAACTAATTCTACGAGTTGGGGAGTGAAATCTGGCTTATGCACTACCTATAATTACCGCTGCCCTATCTTAAATACAACCTGGTAGCCTTTAGAAGAAACAATGAAATCATTAGTACAACAAGAATCCTTTAAAATTTTTAAATTAAAAAACCTTACATGTTTCGGTTGTTCGCCATACTTGTTGACCGCTTGCCGATTGCACTGAGGGAATGAAGTGAGCACATCTACCGCTTCTTCTGCTCCAAACTTAGCCGCGAAGTGTAGCGGGGTCTCGTTCATCGCTTTGTCGGGAGTGTTGAGATACCTGTCTACTAGGATCGAAGCGAACTCCTGGACAAACAAACATAATTAATAATAAATATTTCCAACACTCACACCAATTAGCCTAGCCCCAAAGTAAGCACTGTTCTGTAAGGCTTGTGTTATGGGATACTAGGGGAAACGATAGAATACATAATATACTGTACATATATTAGCATATTTATATAGAAATACATATTAAACATCCATGACTGACGTACAAACGCTCGTATTTATCACACAAACATCTGCCCCTACCGGGATTCGAACCCGGGACCTTTCGAGTCGGCGACACCATGAAACCCGGCGTACAAACCACTTGGCCACGGAGGTCGTCAAATTATAAAACATGGGGGACCAGGGTATAGATATTCCTTCAAAAACGCTCGAAGAAGCGTTTGTACTGGCGGCCTTCGCGTCTGGACTTTACCGCCACTTAAATCAGGTGGGGTGGAATAATATGCCTATATTATAACAAATATCTCATTTGTCTCAAACTCCTCTTCCCCCTTCTGAATTGTATTCATTACCGTACGGCGATTTGACCTAAATCAAGAAGTTGTCTGCAATGCAGATATTGGAAAAATAAGCTGATGCGAATTATAATAACAACTACTTTTAATTTTTACAAAGCTCGCTAAAGAACAGAGCGAAATACACGACAGGAGAAAGCGACGATTTTTTAATTTTATGGTTGGTAGTGTTCCCAAGGTCGTTTTTTCACAGATCTAAGAATTCCCGCAGAAGACTACAAGCGAAAAAATATGGAAAAAATATTTTTTTTATGTAGTGCATAATGTGCTGGCATATAAAATAATTTTCTTTCTTCCTTCTTATTTAAAAAAAAATCTCGTACGACGTACCTTACAGGACTCCGCGTCAGCATCAGAGCCGTACAATGTCTGCACGAAGACTGGGTTGCCAACCGTATTCAAAATCAGGTTGCATATCTCCGCGTTCATTGACTTAGCTGCCACGTGCAGAGCGTTGTATCGGGAACCCTCCTGAGGGGTAAAGGATTTTGTTTTAGAAGTTACGTACCTTTTAGGTTCTTCAAAGAAGACAATAATTTCTTTTCAATTCATGGCCGTTATGAAAATGAATCACAGATCTCGTGCTCTACACGACTTGAAAGAGCATTGAAAATGAATCTATATAAATTATAGATTATTCAAAATAAATAAAAAAACTACTTTTCCAAAATATTTTTATATCATCTGAAAGCCCTTCAAATTCCGCGTCTTTTGAACCCTCATACATCCTAGTGGCCCTAAACCTCTGGGTATCACGGGCGAGTCGCACTTTCAGCAAAAATAGGGGCCTACTGGGGCCCAATATTAAAAAAAATTACATACAAAAAGATTTAGTTGAGGCGTCATATCAGACATGCACGACTTTCTCTCGCTCGTGGAGGTGGGAATTGAATCGGGTCGAGTCGGCGCTTCTATCGTCAAATAATCTCCTAGAGTCGAATCGTTACACTACTACAGTATCCCAAACACGAACAACTAACGAGAGAAAGAATTCGTATCGCCATCATCAAATTTTCTATGGAATGAGCTAGTTTGCTCTTACGTCCAGTAGGGGCGCTGCTTTGTTTCTTTGGAAACTTTGAAGAGGGGATACGAATACTTCCTCGCTAGTTGTTAGCGATCGGGGCACTTGTAGGTCACGATAGAATAAACGGACAATTATGTCAGCGTATCTACATGGCTCTATCGTGAGAGAGCTCAATGACGCAAGTAGTTAGCGCGATCGGCTGCGAACGTTGAACTTAAGCAACTTTCGCAATGGTCAGTCATTGGATGGGTGATCAAAAATTTACAATCTCGAGCTCCTTCGTGCTTCGGAAGGCACATTAAGCCGTTGGTCCTGGCTGCATCTGCATTCGTCAGCACCCACCAATCTGCACTGGGCCCGCGTAGTCGGCCATGGCCCAATCTCCCTATTCCATCTATAGGGAACGCCTGTGCGCCAGCAGTGGGGAAATTAATAGTCAAACAACGGAATCGCTACTAGTACGTGTCAATTTGCTAAGGAATCGCCGCGGACTCTTCAAACATATCACAATTCGGGCTGCTTGCACGGGAGTGTGGGTTGAGATGACACCGAGATGCATTTGTCAATGAGGTAATCAGTTATATAGAGACGGTACAAATGCCATCTTAAAACACTCTCTTTTTATTAATTTTAACTTGCCAAAAAAGCTACTTCAGTTTCCAATAGTTAGCATAGCCGGAGTGTTCCCGGTGCTGACTAGAAAGCAAGGGATGTCCCACACTCGCTTTTGAAAAATAATTAGAAAACCACCCTCTCGCTCCATCTCTCTCACGATAAGTGTCAGTGTGAGATGTGTGTGCCCAATTTTATTTCACAGTTGGTTAGGTTTGAGTTAACCTTTTAATAGTTACTTTACCAGTAAGGAGGTCGATGACGCATCATCGTAGAAGTTAAACAACTTAAGTTAAATGGGCGACAAAAAACTTATTATCTCGAGCCCTCCCCTGTGATTCAGAAGGCACATTAAGTAGTTGCACCCACCAATCCGCACTGGGCCCGCGTGGTTGGTCACTGTCACGGTCCAATCTCCCTATTCCATACATAGGGAAGGCCTGTGCTCCAGCAGGCTGATGATGATGATTAATGGCTAACTAATTAGTTAATAGGAACGTGAATGTATGTGTGTGATATACGATGATGTGAGTGTGTGTGTAACGGAGGGGATAAGGCTCCCACTAGACCTGTATAGGTCTGCCTATATAGAGCTCTAAACATAGGCAGACACTTCACGCCTGCGCTAACGCCGGTGGCTATATACCTGCAGCATAGCCGGTCATGGCCCAATCTCCCTATACCATCTACAGAGAAGGCCTGTGTGCGAGCATTGGGGGCATTAATAGACTGATGATGATGAGTACACAGTATACCTGTAGTATAGCCGGTGTGTTCCCGCTGCTGACTAGAAAGCGCGGATTGTCCCAGACTCGTTCGCTGACCGTGGCCGTGAGACCAGCCTCGATGGCCTTCCGGAGGGCCACCATGTCCTGGGGCGACGGCGCCTTGAAAGGGTACGGCTTCTCTCCCATAAGGGCTACAATGACAGAAAGAAAATAGTTATTACGATTAAGTGCCACCTAATGCAGCGTAGCGGTAGGGCGTGGTGCAAGGTTTAAATTTTTTTAAAATTACTTTTTTGCACACATGCGGAAAAGAGTCACTTTCCGCATAATGTATATATGTCGCAGTAAGATAGATAAAATGGGATGAGGGGATATCCCCAGGGATATAACTATTTTACGATAATTATATAATTATCTAGAAAGCATTTCATTACTATCTTACGGTTGCAATCTAGTTATATGTTTATCTGACTACACTAATCTGGTTAAATGGTTATAAGTTACCAAAGAATCAAATAAAGCAAAATATTGATTTTTATTGATAAATCAAGTTTTTGTAACATGCAATTAGTTACTTACAATTAGTTAAAATACTTTTTTTCTTTAATACGAATAATAAAGTAATTATAATTATTGATTTAAATTGTTATTTAGATATTTTTTTGTATTTAATCATTAACAATACAATTAAGAAAAAAATATCAAAAAACTTAGTGTTTTTAAAATACTTGAAACTTACCAACAGTTTTGGAGACATGGAATGGAATGGAATCATGACATACTAAAATTATTTCATTAAACTAAATCTAGTAATATAATTATATCACTAAACGTGAACCATTTTATAATTATATTCCTAGTAACATAGTAATGAATCGCTTTCGTATAACTATGTTATTACGGTATATAATTATATCCCTAGGGATATAAGTATACTACAGAATTTACTATTTTACTGCCACATAATAATAATAATAATAAATCTTTATTGTATATGGAACAAGGTAACATGAAAATACAGGTCTTAATGCTAATGTACAGTGCCATTTGATCCTACCTTTTCATGTGTGACCTGTCCTTAATCAGGGCAAAATCGAATTTTAATGGTCTTACCCCCCAAATTGGGTCGAAATAATTAAAGAAAAAGGTCAGAATTTTTTTAAATTTTTCCCTCCATATTTACCCACCGCTAGGGAACCTTACTTTTTGCCATAAGAAAAGCATTGATATTTCGTGACTTTTAATCTTTTTTTTAGCGTTACCCTAATATTCAACTAAAAAATCGTACATTCTCAGAAAATGTTCACAATAATGTAACCTTTTTGTCGAATTTTTTGGAATTCGATCCAAGCATTTTTGGGTCAGATCAATCACATCTCTAATCTCTGTAGGTTGCGAAAAACGCGGGAAAAAGTCGAAAAACTATATCGACGCGGATTAACACCAACGCCCGCAAACAAAGGGTCTTGCTACCGCTGGACTCCGAGCTCCGAGAGTATCGACTTGAGGCCCTACAATCGCAGTCTCCCATATTTCGTCGATTTGGGTTAGGTGCACAATGCGTTTACGAGAAAACATTCGTTTGATTGGTTGTGTGGATTCCCAAATTTTCGGGAACAAACTACCATCAACTCGTCAAGTTTTAAAAGTTTTGTTTTTCAACACGCGAGTGTCAGGTTTTGATATTGGGATCTGACATGGAGGCGTGGCCTATTCAATATGGCGCCGACGGGGGTGCATTTGCCTAGTCAAACCGTGATGAAATACCGTAAAATAGTTAAATATCAATATTAGTGGTAGATAATGATAGTCTTAACAATTAATGATATTTGTGAATGGTCCGGTTCAACGCCCAGTAATCGCAGTTTTCTTCAACTGTCGTTGTTGGGATGGAATGTCTGCAAAATATCAATTGATTATATAACTAAACCAAGGAAACTCTTTCATTTTAATGTTGTTGCCGTCCCATTCTTTTCTTAGTGGAATAATAATGAGATCTTGTAAAATGCTACTTCACACATGCTTAACCTCAAACGAATTTGACTCACCTGGTAATATATAGTCGTCTTTCAGAAAATGCAATGAACACACTTTCATGTGAGGATTTATTTTACAGTCAATCTTCAAAGCGTTCTTCCATGCTGTGAATTGGTCCACTTTTTCCATTTGACCAAAATAATTTTTGATGTAAACACAACGCGCATTTTTTTTAGGAAACTTATGAAACGTTAATTCACGGTTTTTTTGAAAACTGCTTCCACATCCATACACACAACACTTTATTCTTTTTTTAGAAATCTTGCGAGGGTTAAATATTCCTAATTCTTCCGTCATTTTTTGTTTAATTTCTCAAAAGTACTAATGACACTAATGATAACTTATGTGTTTTGATGAGCGATGCACCCCGGTATTAGTTCCAAAATTGAACACCAGGTGTCTCACGAATTTTGTCAGATCCCAATAAAAACAAGTGCATCACTAGCCGTGCGTGAAACTATGATTTTTTGGACAAAAGCAAGATTAAAAACGAAGCAAGATTATAACTGCGTAACGAAACTGATGGATTTACATCGACAATGGCATCTATTGGGAAAAAATATCAATGCCCCAAGCAATAAAAAGAGGGAAGAAGAATTCTGCGGTAAACTGGATGACCTTTTTGACATCGCCCATCAAATTGCTCTTGTAGGTCTCGACGATGTAAGAACGGAATTTCTGCAAAATCAAAGGAAGCCTGGTCGTATCGGTTTCATCTGGGATATCCAAAGCACATATGATTTGATGGAGGCAGCAGAATTGCGAAAAACAACCGATGCGTTACAGAGGTTGGAAAGAATGGAACAAGAAAGAGCATTATTTGGTAAGTTTTCTCCAAATATCTTGACCAAACCATTGTTTTATGACCCTGAAGATTTTTGCACCTGCAAATTTCGACCTTTTGCAACCTCTATTTTCTGACTTTAGCATTTTCGGAAAAATATCAGAATATAATTTCGTTCTTGGACCAATTACCGAGTTGTGCGTTTTTTTTTTTAATTTTTTGAACTCCAATTTCGTGTACACTAGTGGCTCTTTTTGCCATTTAGAGATTTGATTGCTATACATTTGCAGTAAGGGGCACTATTGAAAAATTTTGTAATACTTTTTGATTTCTCTTTCACATTCTCTATGGTGCTTATTTTTGGATTCTTAATGAATTTTTTTTTCGAATCAATTCTTCATCGGTATCTGCAAATTTCGTCTTTTTGTGTGAGCCATATTCTGTAAACCGTGGCGTCATTTTTTTTCATTCAGGGTACTTTTTCTTTTATCCTCAATCAGCAAAGATATGTAAGAACGATAAAAAATTCTTCCAGATGAGATCGTGGAATTGGCATCGAGTGATGGTGGCGACTTTTCACAAACGTTGTCACAAAAATCCATGGGCACGATTTCAAATTATTCCACAACAGACCATGCTGCAGATGATGCTGGACCATCAAATCCGAAAAAATCTCGAGGCACCGTAGATGTGGTAAATGACAAACTCGTCGCCGTTCTTGATAGATTTAAAGTCTCCGATACATCGGCCGTTCATTTAATTACTTCTGTAGCTCAGTCTCTTGGATTCGATTTAAATGCGTTAATTGTTAATCGGAGCTCGATAAAGAGAAAGCGTGAAAAATTGCGTGAAATGAGGTCCATAAAAATAAAAAGTATGTTCCAAAATACTGATTTGCGAGCCGCTGTTGTACATTGGGACGGAAAACTTTTGCCTGATTACTTTAGTGGTAAGAAGCTTGAGAGACCCGTTTTGATAACAAACAGTGATTCTGAGAAGCTGTTAGGTGTCCCAAAACTCGAAAACGGGAGAGGCGTTACGCAAGCAAACGCCATTCATGACGTTCTCGATGAGTGGGGTGCTTTGAGCTCGATAAAAGCTCTTTGTTGTGATACAACGGCTTCGAACATGGGTGTCATGAATGGCGCGGCGGTTTTATTAGAACAAATGTTAGAGAAATCTATTTTATACCTGCCATGTCGACACCATATTTTTGAGATAGTTTTGAAAAGCGCTTTCAATGCGAAATTAAAGTCCCCCTCGACTGGACCAGATGAACCTATTTTCAAACGTTTCAAAGATTCCTGGTCAAAAATCGATTCAACAGCGCTTCGCATTGGCATTGATGATAAAAAAGTAAAGAGCATTGTAACTGTTGAGAATATCACGAGAATCAATTCGTTTGTTGAACGGGCATTAGAAACGGACCAACCTCGAGCGGATTACAAGGAGCTTTTGATTTTGACACAATTATTTATTGGAACCGTTCCATCACAAGGAGTTGCAATACGTTCACCGGGTGCAATGCATCATGCACGTTTCATGTCCAAAGCTATTTATTCTTTGAAAACTATTTTTGTTCCGAGACAGTTTCGAAATGACAAAAACTGAATATCGGGCGATCCGCGATGTATCGGTTTTTATCGTTACGATTTATCTGGAAGCATGGTTCACTGCTCCAGTCGCAGGAGCAGCTCCAAATCATGACCTTCAATTTTTGAAAAAACTCTATAATTATAAGAGTGTTGACAGAGAGATAGCTAATGCAGCTATGCAAAAATTTGTAAATCACCTCTGGTTTTTGAGCCCTGAAACGGTCGCCTTATCATTTTTTGATGAGAATTTACCATTGGACGTGAAACGTTGCATGGTGTCCGAGTTGGGCCCGGGCGACGTGATCGAAGAAATTGATCAAAATTGCCCGAAGAAAATTGTAATCAAAGTAAAAGACATTGGCAATTACTGCGACAAAGAGATCGATCATTTTGTAACATCACAAACCCGGAATTTTTTTCTCCGATTTGAAATTGATCAATCGTTTCTAAAAATTGACCCATCTCTTTGGTCTGGAACTGCGAGTTTTCGAGAAGGTTCGGAAATTGTCAAAAAATTAAAAGTTGTGAATGATGCGGCCGAAAGGGCTGTTGGTCTATTGACGGATTTTAATAATATTCTCACGCATAATGAAAACCAGAAACAATACATTTTCCAAGTCATTGAGGAACATAGGAGAAAGTTCCCTGATTCGAAGAAGGTAACGGTCATGCAAAATTTATGAACAAAGCAATCGGTTTAAGGATGTATCATGATATTCTCTGCTATATAATTTAGAAATACGTGACAGGGACAATATCCTTAATACAATATGTG